TTCACTTCTTGGCTACTAGCCACGGACTCTGGCCCTTGGGGGAAGTATAGAGAAGGGGAGTTGAGAATGATTACGCGGGGCGTCTCCCGGGGAGGGGGACCCCATAGATGCGCAGCCAGTTTGGATCCTCTGTCCCTTCCCTCCACCTGCACGGTCCCCGGATTTGAGAAGTGAGCTTGGCTGAGGCTCACGGGAAGATTCTGTGGCGGGAGGGTCGAGGGGCCGAGGGAGGGGACCTGTGCTTGGTGGCACCCAGCTGCCACTGGTCTGCTGTGCCCCCTGCCTGCCCACCAAGGTGCCCTCTTCATCCCGGCCATTCTGGTTGCCACAGCCATGCTGCTGGGCAATTAGCCTGCGCAGGTGTCTCTGCCAAGCCCGTGCGGGCAGCAGTGCTGTGCTTAGTCAAGTCTGTGCAGGGACTCTTGGGTGCTGACTGCTGTGTTTAGTCTGCGCAGGGACTCTTGGGTGCTGACTGCTGTGTTTAGTCTGCGCAGGGACTCTTGGGTGCTGACTGCTGTGTTTAGTCTGCGAGGGACTACTGGGTGCTGACCTCTGTGCTGAGTTAGCCATCCTGGCCGGCACAGAGCAAGTGCTTGAGCCCCTGGAGTCTCGCTTGCTCTGTGGGGCAGGGGCACACAGGAGTCCCCCTGAGGGGAGCCGGGGCTGGGAGAGACAGGATGAGCCAGGCCCGTCGGGTCCTCCCTGCCAAGCCTGCATCCTCCAGCACCAACGCGCGCTTCCCCACCCCCACGGAAAGCAGAAGCAGCCCAGAGCAGCCTCCTGGATCGTCCCAAGGAGGGAGGCTCAATACTGTCCAGCCGTCCAGAAAAGCACTGGCAGGGCTGAGCTGGGAGCTGGGGGCCGTGTGTGGCGGGGGGAGGCCGTGATGGCCCCGTGGGAAGGGAGCCTGTGTCCCACAGCGTCACCCTGCAGGTGCTGGTCCCCCGCACCCCACAGATGAGGGTATCTGCTCCCAGCAGGCCTGCCCCGTCGGTGGCCTCTCTGCCCTGCTCTTCTCTCCAGGGCCGTGGCCTTGGAGGGGGCCAAGTTATCTGAACAGGCGTGAACGCCAGGGCTGGGGGAGGGCACGGAGCCTGAGGACAGATGCCAGGCTGCTGACCGGGTCCCTCTGTGTACCTGTGGTTCCCTTTACATTCCACACAAGAAGCCCCAGCTAGCGGCATTCCCGTGCTCACCAACAAACACTCCCCGGGCCCTGTGTGTGTGTGGGGGGGGGGGGGGGGCGGCGGGAGCATGCACATGCCGGCACCCAGTTCTGCAGCACCAAGACCATGCACAGTACATGCCAAAGGCTCCGAGGTGAGGGGAGTCACGGAAGCGCCACGGTCCCTGACCCACTCTCCCCTCCCACCCCCCGCAGGTCAGCATAGGCAGTGAGAAAGGAGGGCGCCCAAGTCAACATCCTCCTTTGACATTTGGGGAAACTGAGACCTGGGAGACAGCCAAGGCCTAGAGACCAAGCTTGTCCCCTGGGAGCTCTTCCTCTCACGGGCCACCCTGCCCTGCCCATAGCCGCGGCGTCACGTCTTGCCCGGTGAAGGGAGAAGGGCGGCCAGTGCCCAGTCTGGTGGTGGGCAGTGCGGGGTGCGTTGGAGACGGGGCTAGTGGCTCAGTGTGACAGGGGATGCCCCTTCCTGAGCGAGTCCCCAGGCCCCAGGAGCACAGAGACTCGAGCCTCCCACCCTGCGGGGAATCGACCTTTGCGCCTGTTACCCCGTTGTCCACGAGGGCGCTGGCCAAGCTGGGTCGGCTGCTTGCCAGACGCTGGGAGTGAAGCAACTGCAGCGGGTCTCAGGACCAGGTCGGGCTGGGTGCCCCCGGCAGGCAGGACTCCACCGAGAGGGCCAGCGGGAGGTGAGCCTCTCTGGCCACCTCTGGCGCTGCCCTTGGCCCCCTGGCCCCTGCAGTGAAGCTTCTAGCACCTGTCAGCCTGCCTGGGTCTCCTGCCCTGCTGCCAGCCTGCCAGCGGCCCCCATCTGCCTCCCCCACCCCCCTGGGCTCTGTGTTTGGCACTTTTCGTGCCCAGGCCTGCAGGGGGGCCGGCCGGGCTGGTGGGGGGCAGCGTAGGAACAGAGCTCACAGCCCTGCAGAAGGAGGTGCAGGCGGAGGGACAGGAGGTACTGAGTTGGGTGGGGGAGTCGTGCTCGGGCACAGGGACCCAGGCGCAGGGAGCACGGCTGGGGGCTGTGGGCACGGAGCTGGGCTCATGGATTGTCTCGGAGCCCAATGGGCAAACTTCCCTTATCCAGGAATTCTCTTGTTCTCCCGCCTCTGGGCCTATTTCCCTTGACCTTGACTTTTTTTTTTCTTTTTGGGTCACACCCGGCGATGCTCAGGAGTTACTCCTGGTTCATGCACTCAGGAATCACTCCTGACGGTGCTCGGGGGACCCTATGGGATGCTGAACCCGGGTCGGCTGTGTGCAAGGCAAACGCCCTTCCCGCTGTGCTATATCGCTCCAGCCCTCGACCTTGACTTTCTAGCTTAAAAAAATGAACTGACGAAAGCAGGAGTGAGGAAACATTTCTCTACCCAGGGTCACTGGGACACTGATAATACCGATGGAGAGCCCTACCATGAAGGCAGATGGACCGACCATAGGGATCAATGAGAAGCTCATCTCCTTCCCTATCACCACTAAGTGACTCATGCTCCTTCCTCCCCCTTTTATCTTAGCTCTAAATCTGCACCTTCATTTTGCTTCATTGATATCAGAAGCCACGTCCGTATAGATTATTTTAGGTCTATAATTAAATTAATTCCTCCTACTTAAAAACAGTGGTTTTGGGGCCACACCTGGAGATGCTCAGAGATCACTCCTGGTGGGTTCAGGGAACCCTGTAAGTGCTGGGGGATCTAACCCAGGTCAACTGTGTGCAAGACGAGGCCCTTACCCACTTGACATGTCTCTGGTCCCCAGAACTTAGCTTTTGTTTTCTGGGGGGACCCAAAGGCAGTGCTCAGGGCTTACTCCTGGCTCTGTGCTCAGGGATCACCCATGAAGGGTTTAGGGGGCCATCTGGGCTGCTGGGGACGGAACTCGAGTTGGCTGCATCCAAGGCAAGAGCCCTACCCATAGTACTATTGCTCCAGCCTCTGAGTGTAGCTTTTTGGAACAAGGCAGGAACCGAGAGAGGGTGCTGTCTGATTTCCAAAATGATTGTCAGTGAGGACCTCTTGGTGTGGGCAGCAGGGCGTCCTGTTTACATAAGTGTTTGAGTGGGGAGCACACCCCCATCCGTAGGGATCTCCTGAATGGGAAGTCTCCGCTCTCCAGGGTGTGAGGGAAGGTTTGAGTCTCCTTGGCAGTGCTCTCAAGAAAGGGCATTCAGAGGTAAGTGCAGAGGCCAGCAGAATGGAGGGAGGTTTCAGCTACCCAAGCAGTGTGTGTGGCATTGCGAGCCACGTTGATCTATTCTGTGAAATGGGTTTTCCAGGGGCCAGAGGTAGGTACCCACCGTACGTACCTACAGTGGGTAGGGTACCAGCCTTGCATGTGACCTCATTCCTGTTTCAATCTCTGGAATCACTTAAGATCCCCTGAGCCCGGCCGGGAGTGAGCCCTGAGTGCTGCCGGGTGTGGCCCCAAAACTAAAAACAGAGAAAAAAAATTTCTTGAGACCTCTTCTAAGCAGAGCACAGGAGGTCCCCAAACAATACCGTCTAGTTATAATATTTATGGGACAAGAGAAATGCCCACTGCCCGGCACCAGTGACATTATCTGAAGACTTGCTTTTCCTATATATTGTCTTGCTTAGAGGCTGTTTCCAAAGACCTATCTACAGTAATGACCAGAGAGCAGCAAAACCCCCTCTCTCTTTCTTTACAGGTTTGTGACTTCATTTTTTAAAGCTTTATTTTATTCTTATTTATTTTGTCTTTTAAAACTGGACTTCTCAGGGCGAGAGACAAGTGGGTTGGGCGCTTGGCTGACCCAAGTTCAATCCCCGGCACCCCATATGGTACCCTGAGTCCTGCCAGGTGCGAACCCTTAGCACAGAGCCAGAAGTAAGGCTTGAGCATTGCTGGGTGTGACCCCAAAACGAACAAAAGCAAACAAAAATGATAACAACAACAACACCACCACCACCAACAACAAAAAACACAGCCAGACTGACTACTCATTAGTTTACACCATTAGAGAATTCAGCTTCACCCCTTGCTATGTGCTCAGAGTTCCAGGTTCTTCAGAGTTCCAGGTGAGCCCACCGGGACCCCGTTACTAGAAAACTCTATTTCTTAAGCAACTTCAGTTGCCCAAGTGGCTGAGATCTGTGCTGTTTCTCTCAGATCAGAATGGCCCAAGCAGTAAACTTTCCCACAGCCAGTTCTGAGTGGACAGTCACTTCTCTATGGCGTGCACCGCCATCCACAGGCAGAGAGGGCCAGTGCCTGCAGTCTAACCAAGAAACAAAACCCCACCTCCAAGCCTCTGTCCCCCTGAGAGCACACGGAATGTCCTGCACAAATAAACTTTCAAGACACTCACTGCAGGAAACATGGGGTCCGAGACACGAGACCCCTCCTCACTGCCAGACTGACCGTGTCCAGACGCCACTCTCTGCCTTGGGCTCCCCAGCGGGAAGGAATTCGTGTCGTGCAATGATGCATCAGGAGTATGGATCACTCACTTTCATTTTGTCTTTAATTACCAAAGTCCACAAGTTTAAAGTGTCCATAGGCACGCCTCGCTTGACTATGGCCCTCTGCATCTCTGTGAATTCACATGGGGTGGGGGGGGAGGCAGCCTGCACCTCGGTGCCGGTGGAGCCCCCTTTTGGCACCGGAACTCAATAATTTATTAAGCGTCCATTCTTAATAAGTGTGCATAAATACCATGCAAACATCTGGCCATGCTCACGAACAAAAAGTGTATTAGCGTCCAGGACTTATGCGTCTTGTAAACAAACAAAAAGTTAAGAGGTTGGCATTTTCTGTACAAAGTATGTAGGGCTTTCTTTTTTTTCTTTTCTTTTTGTCTTTTTTTAATAATCTGTAAGATGCATCATCCTTCTGGCATTTTCAGAGAGTGAAAACTGTATAAAAATAAATATTCTATGTACAAACACACACTCAGGCCAATCCCAGGTTAGAGGCATCACTGCAAAACAAACACAAAACAAGAGAGTTAGTGTATGTGATGCTGGTGTGTGTTTGTGGGGGGTGGCCGGAAGGAGCTCGTCCCACCCTGACTTGGATGGGAACTACGTAGGGGAACTTGCAGGCACCCGAGCTCAAGCAGGCAGGGAGCCCCAGCCCCCACATTCGGCGTCCCCAGGTTGGGGACCATCAAGTCAGGGACTCCCCTTCTCGGCCACCAGGGGGCACCTTCTGTCCACGCTGCCTGCGTGTGGAGGTCCCTCTGCTGAATCCCCGGACTTGGAGGGAACCAAGGGAACCATTAGCAGGATACTGTCGCCTTGCTTCTCCGAGGACACCAAAGCGCTGGACAGTGATGGGGCCGCCCTCCCTTGCCAGCTCAATTTTTACCCCCTAAGCATCAGCAGTGACCCTAAAAGCTGCTCAGACCTTTCCCAGGTTGGTCCAGGTCCAGGGGTCTCTGCATGAGGAGACGTGGATGGAGGGACAGGCTCACCCCACCTGCACGTCCTACTTTTCCTTCCTCTGGTTCTGGGTGCGTTTGTGGGTGCTGGACTAACGGCTAGTGTTTGGTGACCCTTGTTTCTCCACTGCCCCGGGGAGAACTCAGAGCCTCAACCGTGCAAGCCATAGCCCAGCCCAGCCCAGGGTCAGCGTTTTGGTTGTTTTGCCGCTGCTGCCTCAATTCTGAGATCCTGGGCAATCTGCGGAGGGACCTTTATTCACCTTTTGTTGTTGTTTGTTTACCGGCCACACCTGGCCATGCTCGGGGGTTACTCGTGGCTCTGCACTCAGGACTCACTCCTGGCAGGCTCAGGAAACCATGTGGGATGCTGGGAATCGATCTGGGTCTGCTGCGTGCCAAGCGAGGGCCTTGATCACTGCACTATCGCTCTGGCCCTCTTTACCTCAATTTAAGCTCAGTCCTGCCCTCACTGGGACACGGGGGATCTGTTGGAAGCTCAGGGTGGGCTCTCAAGTGCTTGTGTGAGGATGCACTAGCTTCCTGGGTCATGGTGCCCAGGTGAGAGGTTCAATCTTTCCCTGGGACCAGCCTGGGCTTCTGGGTCAGCAAGCAGCGGGTCCCCCAGGCTCGGTGAGAGCGCCCTGTGTTCCGGGAGCCCGGCTGGGCAGGCTGACCTCAGCGGTGCCACGACAGGTATGATGACGGAATCTCCCCGCTGTGAGGCCCCATGGGAGCAGGACACTCTGGCTGCTGGGTTTAGGGAGAAGCAGAGCACCGGCCCCGCCCCGGGAAGGTCCCAAAGCCACGTGAGAGCACAGGCCTCATGCAGCCGGACAAACATCATCAGACGTGGGCTTAGAGCAGCGCTGAAGGACTGATTGTAAGTGGCCCATGGCCAGTGTGAATCCCTGGATTTAACCCCAGCCTGGCACAGCAGAACTAAAACCCTGGGCCTGCAGCTGCCCACGGGGCCGAGGGTCTGTCTCCACAGACCACGTGGCTTCTCTGTGTGGCCGCATGAAACCGCACGGGCTGGGCGGACGCGGGCACCCCCCCTCCGCAGAGGGGAGAGCGTGTCCCGAGTGGGGTCGCCTGGCACCAGGACTTACCTTGTTCCAACAGCCCTGGACGGGTAAGCCGTCTTCGCCCTGCGGGAGGAAGGGAGGTGGCGGGTTCAGAATCCCCGTGAAGGCCCCCGGGCAGGTGGCAGGCGGGTGGGCGTGACACGAAGGCCACCCTCTCCCCCCCAGCCCACCTTGCCCATCTCTCCTTATTCTTTTCTTTTGGGGCTTTCGGCCACCCCCAGCAGTGCTCAGGGCTGACTCCTGGCTCTGCACTCAGGGATCGCTCCTGATGGGCTTAGAGGATCGGATGTGGTGCGGGGGATTGAACCCGGGTCAGCTGTGAGCAAGGTCGGTGCCGACTTGCTCGAGTCCCCGCTGTCTATTTCTCTGTCTCCCTGCTGAATGCTGGGTGCTGACGGCTGCCTCAGTTTCCCCCTCTGTCAAAGTCAGGTCACGAGTGCGCTCCTAGCTAAGTTCCCCACTTCCCTTCTCTCTTCCTTAGCATTGAGGAGGACATCTCCCCAGTACCCGGCCATTCAGCGGGGGCAGGACACTCGCAGGGGATGGTGATTCCCGGGCACGGTGACCGGTCCTGGTGCCGGCAGCAAGACAACAAGGACTTCGGTCACAGCTGTGGGCCCCACCGGGTGTTTGGGGAGAGATGGACAAGCAGGGCAGGGGTCAGCTGTGTGCCCTGGGTCCTCTGTGCTGGGGGCACCCCCAGAACATCTGTTGCCCCAACACGTGCTGAGTTTTCTCAGCCCCCAGTGCCCTCAGCTAGGAATCTCGGAGAGGTAGATGGGGACCGAGACAGAGATTTGGCCCGTCTTCTTTTTGGTTCTGGCCACACCCAGCAATGCTCAGGGCTTTCGCATGGCTTTGCACTCAGGAATGACTCCTGGCGGTGCTTGGGATGTCGGGTGTCGAACCCCCGTATTGGCCATGGCCAAGACAAATGTCCTTCCTGCCGTGCTGTGCCTCTGGCCCAGCCTCAGTGTTCTTAGAGGCAGACACTGGGATTCCAGGCTCCCCCGGGCAAGGAAAGATGGGAAGGCTCTTCCCAGGGGTGCAGCCAGGGCCTAGCCCTGAGGTGTCTCACTCGATCTGGCCCCAAAGCTTCACTAAACTAAGACTTTACTCAAACGCAGATCAATAGTGCCCAGCGTCCTGCAGCCACGCTCTGGGCACTGTGGCAATGCCATGACATAGGAGCAAGGGACCTGCAGTTAAGTCCACAGACCAGGACGTGCTGGGATGGGGGTGGGGTGCTGGAGAAAACGCAGGTGGGTGTGAGGGTTGGGCTCAGTCGAGCCTGTTCTTCCCTGGGCGGGGGGCGGTGCACCAGGGCTTCCCGGCAACCTCCTGCCCCTCTGGGACACCTCCCCGACTCCAGCAGTGAGAGGCGTGTCTGGGGACCACAGCGGCATGCCCACTGGCACGGGGAGGGGGACAGGGCCGGGGGCGGGGGTGCGCAGTGGAAGGAGCAGGCAGGGCTCAGGGCTGCACTCGAGAGCCGAGAGGCTGAGACTGGGGGCATGTGACCCGGCCAGTGGTTAATGGGGGACGTTCCTGGGTGAGTCGGGCATACGCAGGCAGCATGCTGGGTGCAGGCCAGGCCAGGAGGGGTGCAGGGCTGGAGGGTAGGAGTGCGTGGGGGAGGGGGGGCGCTGCGTGCTCCTCGGCCGGCTCGGTCTGGGCGTGCTCCAGACCTCAAAAAGTGAGGCCCTCTGGCCCCCTCCTGCCTGCTCGTGGCCGCAGATCTCTACTTATCCTGTTCTAAGGTCACGCGTGAGCATGACCTGAGGGACTTGAGGGGCAGAACATTCTCTTCTGATGGCATGAATGTGGGTCCACGGGCTCCCAGCTCCTGGAGAAACGGCGGGGTGCAGGGAACCTCCAAACCGAAGGCATTGGAAGGGTCTTCCCTGCTCCCCTGCCATGGTGGGTGTCCTCTCTGTGGGGAGGACAGTGGATGGAGAGGCCAGAGGCTGTGCTGGCCACCTGGGCTAGTGCAGGCAGGGACGCTCAGGGCCAGGTCCCCTATGCCTGTCCCCTCCATCCCTATGGCCTCTCCCCAAGCTCTCCCTCTCCCCTCCCTAGCCTCCTGCAGACTCCCCAGGGGGGGACTGGCTCAAGCCAGGCCCTGAAGGGAGGGTTTTGTGGCTGATTCTGGGAATGAGGCCAAAGAGGAAGCTTTCGGGGGTCTCAGCTGCAGACCTGAGCCTGTCCCCAAGCTTGGGCTGTGCCACCTGCCACTACCCCAGGCCCGGCTGGAAGGAAGACGGGGCAGGGAGGCCCCTGTTTCAGGTCATCCTGGGGCCCCTCTGTCACCCCCACCCCATCAGAGACCCTTGTGTCCTCTGCCAAAATCGAGCTGGGTGCTGGGTGCGGCTGACCCCGGCATCTCACTGGAACATGTCCAGTGCCCAGTGTTCGTGCCACGAGCTGTCATGGGTGGGGGCTGGGGGAGTCGGAGTTCAAAGAACCTATCTGGGGGCTTCCTGGGTGCTCTCTGCACCCGGCTTGCCCATTCTCAGAGGAGCAGCTGAGGCGGGGCTGGGGGTGGTGCAGGCTCTGGGCTTTGGGAGGGGGAGCCAGAGGACTTCTGGGCACCTGTGGCATGCAAGAGGGGAGTGGCAGGGGTCCCTGAGGACCGGGCAGAGCTGGGCACCCTGGGCGCCTGGAGTGAAGCAGGGCGAGGGCAGAGAGGCGGTGGCCGGAGCAGGAGCGGGGAGGGACCCGCAGGCACAAACCACACACGGGAAGCCGAGTCGGTCGGCCGTGCAGGCAGGAGGGAGGAGCCATACCAGCGGGCACGGGGCATCCAGTCCGTCCAGCCCCGGCAACCCCGGCTCCCCTTTCTCTCCTTTAAAACCTCGGTGTCCCTGTTCACAAAACCAACCGCGACGATTACTGAGGCCCAGGCTGGCCTCTCCGGTGGGGGGTGGAGAGGCACAGCCCCACCCTGGCCACGATGCAGGACTCTGAGGGCGCGATGGTTGGGGCGGGGGGCAATGCCAGCGGCTTCCCATGCCATCCCCTGCTCCCAGTTCAGGGCTCTCCGGATCTGGGGAGGACGCACGGAGTCCCTCTTGGAGGAGGTGTTGGTTAGTGAACTGCGAGGTCACTGCATCCCAAGTTTCAGACCTTCCTGGCCTGGCCCCTGGGCCATCTGCCTCGGGAAGGCTCCCGGACGCCCGGGTGTGCAGCTACATAGGTTCGTCCTGGAGGCGGGCAGCGGGTGGAAGTGGCCAACCAACAGGCCCCTTTTTGTGCTGTTGTGAAGCTAGGGGCCCTCAGGACGCGCTGACCCCCAGAGTCCTGCATCTTGACCGAGTGAGGAGGATTCAGCGGCACGAAGAGCCGTCCACAGGGTGGCCCCAAAACCAAGAAGGCAGAGGTGAGGTGCGCAGGCCAGGGCAGAGCGGAAGGCCCTGATGCTGGGCCCTGACCCCTTCCCGCCCGCTTCTTCCCTGCACAGGCCGCCTCAAAGAAAGGGGCAGAGGTGGCCACGGCTGCGTTCTCGGCAGTGCCCACAGCGAGGGTCTGGCTGGCAGCACTGACTTTCAGGCCTCCTCCTCCTCCTCCTCCATTTGCCTCTTGGTTTCGGACTCGCCACCCCGTGCCCCCCACCCCCGCCCCCAGAAATAAAACCCAAACGAAGCAAGTGATGAATGCCAACATACCAACGGGCAGGGAGCATCTAATCCGGGTGCGCCTTGGTCTCCCTTATCCCCTTTAGCCCCTCGAGATCCTTTCTTTCCCCGCTCCCCCTGTAAACGATGATTTAGTCCGAAAAAACACAACAACATCAACACTCGGGGATTAGTCCCACGTTCGAGTTAGAGACAGAAAGCGAGGAAAGGCAATTAACGGGGGTTGTGGTGGATTCTCTCTTATGGGACAGGGTTAGGAGTCAATACTGACCCCCTCCCGGCCAGGACCCTGACAAGGTGGCCGGGGCAGGTGGGCAGGGGGTGAGAGCAAGGAGGCTGGGACAGAGAGAGAGAGAGAGAGAGAGAGAGAGAGAGAGAGAGAGAGAGAGAGAGAGAGAGAGAGCACTTGGAACGGAGTTGGATGCAGTGGCGGCTGGTTTGCTGATGCCGTGCACGGAGACGACTGTCTGGGGGAATGGCTGGTCCCTCCCTTCTCTTTTTTTGGGGGGGGGTCACACTTGGTGATGCACAGGGGTTCCTCCTGGCTCTGCATTCAGGAATTACCCCTGGCGGTGCTCAGGGGACCCTATGGGATGCTGGGAATCGAACCTGAGTCGGCCGCGTGCAGGGCAAATGCCCTCCACGCTGTGCTATTCCCTCCCTTCTCTTGGGGCGCGTTCATTCAAAAGGCCGTTGCTGGTGACTTTTGTTCCAGCTGCCCCTCGCCCCTTGGCTATTCCAGGACTCAAGTCTTGTTCCGAGTTCGAGGGGCTGCGTGTACGTGAGTGTGGGGACGTGCTGGGCATGTCCCAGTGGCACAGACCCAGGCACGTGTGTGCATGTGCCCATGTGTGTCTGTACATGTGTACCCGCATGTGCCTGCCGTCCAGGGCTCCGTGGTTGCTGGTTCTCAGCAAGGCAGGCCTTGCTCCTCCTGTGGGGGTCGGCTGCATCCTCACCTCCCTCTACTCTGGGGCTGTGGGGGCGTCTGGGGAACGGGCTGGGCCGGCTTTTCCAGGGCGGCCCTTCATGGAAACCTCCCTCTAGGGTCTGTAGCATGGGGACCCTTGGTGTCACCCAGGGCCCCGGGCCTGGCATGCTGGCAGGAGAGCCTCGCGGAAGCTCCCAACAGGTTCTGCCTGCCTGGCTCTCCCCTGGTGACGTCTGGATGGTAACGCCAGGTCAGAGACACGAGGCAGTTGTGAGTCTGTGCACAGGGAACGCTTCACCCTGGCACGGCCTGGTGTCTGACAGCTGCTCTCTGACTGTCCAGGAAATGTATTTCTCGGTGACCAGCACAGGGGCCAGGGCTGCCAGGGACAGCCCCACGCCTGCAGGGGGCAGGTGGAGCATCTGGACCTTGTAGGGGGCTGGGACCACTCCCAGCACCCCCTGGTCTGCTTCGTAGGCAGAAACTCCATGCTCAGGCCCCGTGTGGGCAGGGGCACTAGGGCCACCCCCCTTCGATGTGATCTGGGGAGCCTGAGGTGCTGCACGTGGGCTCCAATTCTTTGAGTGGGGCCTCAGTGGCCACGAATCCTTCGTGGTTTCCCTCCATCTTCGGAACCACCCACCCTCCCTGTGACTGCGGGGCGGCTGCACTGCCCACGCATCACACTCACTCTCCGTGAGCTTTCCAAGGGCAGCTGCTGCTGCGGAGATGGGAGGTGTGTGTCAGGGGACACGGGACAGGGCCTGGCACTGCAACAGTGGCCACACATAGGAGCATGGTGCCACGAACTGGTCCCAAGCAGGGGACGAGCATGGCGGCCAGTAGCCCGCTTGGAGAAGGCCCAGGGTAGCTGCCACCCCCTGCCCCGGGACCCCCCTGGGTTGGGCAATGCAAGAGGCAGCACGGACTCCTAGGTTCAGAGGGGGCTCTAGGTCCTTCTGGGTAAGAGGTTTGGGGCTGGTGGTGGCCACGGTCCTCGCCTTCTAGAGGGACATCTGACCTGTCGGGGTCGTTCTGAGGGCGCAGGACATGGCCTATCCGTGGAAGGCCCGTGGGGACCCTGCACTAGTAGCCTGAGCCATGTCCACTCTGACCCCTACCCCATAAGGCCACAGGGAAGAGGCGGGGGCAGGAGAGGTGAGCGGCAGAGCTCTCTCTAGCAGGCCCAGGGCTTGGAGGTGGGATGAGAGGAAGTGGATCTGGGCTGGGGGGAGGGACGTGGAGTCATGATGGTAGGCGGTCACATCTGGGGGTGGGGGCGCTAACGGAGAGGAGGAAGGAGGAGATAGGCTGAGGCCTGGAGAGATAGTAAGAGGGAAAGGGGAGAAGAGGCGAAGGGATGGGGGTGGGGGGAGGGAGGCGTGTGGACAGATGCATGCATGCACGCCCATGCACCCACCCCCATCCCACCCAGGTGCAGTGCCGTCAGATACATGCCTGTGCTCCCCCATCCCACCCGGGTGCAGTGCCGTCAGATACATGCCTGTGCTCCCCCATCCCACCCGGGTGCAGTGCCGTCAGATGCATGTCCATGCACAATCTCCATCCCTGCGCCTTGGCCCCACATGCTTGACCCACAGTTGGCTGGCACACACACGGCTGCACGGTAGCACTCATTTTCCCGAGGCCCAAAGGACTAAAAATCCTCCCCACCCCAGGGCTCTGGAAGGGATCTTTCATTCTAGAAACTTCTCCTGGGCACAGTGCACAGAAACACTGAGAGGGAAAGGAGGTGGCCCTGGTGACAAGGGCGGCAACTTCTTTCCCCTCCTACGTGTGTGGCCTGAGCAGAATCCTGCCACCATCTTGGATTGGGACCGTCACTCAGGGGGGTTTTGTCCCCACCACACCAGGGAAGAGGGAGGCCACCCTACCCCCAGTGGGACCCAGAAAAGCACTGCTGTGCTAGGTGGCATCTGGGGTCCAGAGAACAGGTGGGTACGGGCCCCCGACAGGTCCCCTTGGGCCCGACATGGGAAGAAGGCATCCCCCCCTCCCCTATGTGGGGCAAACTTGGCATATCTCTGGCCTCACCGTCACCCCTGGCCCTGCCACTTGACCAAAGTCCCTGTCCTCTGGGCTTCCAGGCTCCCGGCTTTGGGAGATCAAGGTCTCGGGGGTGTCGAGGTGGAGGCCCGTTCTCCCCGCATGCTCTGCTGATCTGAGAGACTAAGAGAAGTGGCTGCTTCTTGCTGGGGATAGGGTGGGCTCACGCCCGGCAGTGCTCAGGGCTGACTCCTGGGTCTGTGCTCAGAGCTCACTCCTGGTGGGGTGTGGCGCCCGCACATGGTGTAGGAGATTGAACTGGGGTTGGCTGCAGGCAAGGCAAGCACCTCCCCCCTGTCCTATTGCTCTGGCCCCAGCACGCGCTGTTTCTTGACTCGGAAACCTACTCCTTGCAGAAAGTCAAATAAACGGGCATTCTGGTGCTCTCCAAAGAAGGGTCACACAGCTGGCCTGTTTCCTGGGCTGGTATCGTCTCGCTAACTTCTGCCAGCCAGGAGAGTAAAAACTTAAAAAAGACACGTAAAAACTTATCCAGAGGAAGTGGAGAAGAAATATTTTCCCACCGGCTTGTGAGTGCTCTCTGTACCTTCAGCAGGAGAAGCTCTGCCCCCACATCTCCTCCACCCGGGTCCGGGGCGGTTCCTGCCCCGTGGGTGCCTCAGGAGCGGTACAATGCCGGGAACATGGCCTGTGCCTGCCTCGGTGCCGCAAGCCAACTGAGAGGGTCTTAGAAAACAAGGCTCCATGCCAGGGACCGAACACAGTGCAGAGAATCAGAGTGCTTCAGAAACACACGGGAGGGAGGTTAGGAGGCCGCCAGCGGTGGAATGATCACATCTGTGGGTGGCTGGGACACGTGAATGCCACAGAAGGGATGGGGGCTTCCTGCCTGCCCTGGCAGGCAGAGTTCCTGGGAGCCAGGTCTTCCCCACAGCCGATTCCCACGGGCATGTGGCAGGGCAGCCCCTGTTTCTAGACTGTGTGGGATGGATGGAATAGCTTGGGCCAGGGCCGGGGAGAATTTAGGGACACAGAAAAGCGCAATGAATCTATCTTCCTTCCTTTCTCTCTTTCTCCTTCTCTCTCTCTTTCTCTATCCCTCCCTCCCTTCCTCCCTTCCTTCCTTCTGGAATTCCTTCCTTCCTTCCTTCCTTCCTTCCTTCCTTCCTTCCTTCCTTCCTTCCTTCCTTCCTTCCTTCCCTCCCTCCTTCCTCCCTTCCTCCCTTCCTTCCTTCTGGAATTCCTTCCTTCCTTCCTTCCTTCCTTCCTTCCTTCCTTCCTTCCTTCCTTCTGCTTCCCTTCCTCCCTCCCTCCCTCCCTTCCTTCCTTCCTTCCTTCCTTCCTTCCTTCCTCCCTCCCTCCCTTCCGGAATTCCTTCCTTCCTTCCTTCCTTCCTCCCTCCCTCCCTCCCTCCCTTCCATCCTCCCTCCCTCCCTCCCTACCTCCCTTCCTTCCTTCTGGAATTCATTCCTTCCTTCCTTCCTTCCTTCCTTCCTTCCTTCCTTCCTTCCTCCCTCCCTCCCTTCCATCCTCCCTCCCTCCCTCCCTCCCTTCCTTCCTTCTGGAATTCCTTCCTTCCTTCCTTCCTTCCTTCCTTCCTTCCTTCCTTCCTTCCTTCTGCTTCCCTCCCTCCCTCCCTCCCTCTTTCCTTCCTTCCTTCCTTCCTTCCTTCCTTCCTTCCTTCCTCCCTCCCTCCCTCCCTCCCTTCCTTCCTGCCTTCCTTCCTTCCTGCCTTCCTGCCTTCCTGCCTCCCTGCCTGCCTGCCTGCTTTGTTTCTGGGCCACACCTGGCAATGCTCAGACTCTGTGCTCAGGGATCACTCCTGGTGGTACTTGGGGGACCTCATAGAGTGCTGGGGATCAAACTCGGGTCAGCTGAGTGCTAGGCAAATGCCTTAACCTGCAGTGTTGTCTCTCTGACCCATAAGCACATATTTCTTTCTTTTTTTTATATTTAATTTTTTTATTTTTAAATAAATAAAAATAAAAAAAATTAAATCCCTCTCGGAGAGCCTGGCAAGCTACCGAGAGTATTCAATATGCCAAACACAGTAACAAGAAGTCACACAATGGAGACGTTACTGGGCCCGCTCGAGCAAAGCGATGAACAACGGGAGGACAGTGTATTTTTAAATGAATCACCATGAGGTACAGTTACAGGCTTACAAACTTCCGTAAGCACACATTTCTATGCATGAGCTTGGTCAATCGGGGTTCAAAGGTGAGCGTGCAGGCCTGGGTGGGTTCTAGAAGCTCTGCCTTTACTCTCACAACTCAGAACCTTTTATTATCGATTTGGGTCTTGATTCTCTGTTCCTCCACCACACTTCCTGTCCTATGCTAAGGCCTTAGACTCCTGTGACTCAGAAGGTGTTCTCGGAATGCAGTGCCCTCTGAGGACGCTTATTCCAGAAAGAAACCTAAATATCACCCCCACCCGCCCCCCGTCAGCTATAATTCAGTGATTCCTGCACGGCCTTCTGCCACGGTACATTTCACATAGCATCGCGTGGGGTTGGCCCCTGGAGAATGATCCCCTTGTACAGATGCAGAAACCAAGGCAGAACAAGAGACCTGAGCAGATGCAATTTATTTCCAAGCCCTGCGTCCTCCCAAGAGAAAGCATGGCAAGGGGATCTTTTTAAAGGGCTCCACACTTCTGTCTACTTATTCTGGCCACTGAAATTCATTCTCTGTCACTGGGAGCTTGAGAGGCTCGGTGAGTTACGTTTCCGGGGGGTTAGGACCAGGAGAGATGGGTTGAAAAACATCCCTTGAAGGGTCGTGGGGTGAGCAGACCAGAGGAGCGGTCTCTGGCTGCCAATGCTAATTCACAGGCCACGGTGGGATTTGGTGCCCCCTGACTGTTCAGAAAAAGTCGTGCTTCAATTTCAGGATTAGGCCCCAGGCTCCTGCCGGCCATGGATTAAGTTCCAGACTACAAGGACTTCTAATTGAGGATGATTTAGCAGGAAAAACTGCAGGCAGCAGTGGGGTCAGGGATCTCTAATTGATCATTCCACCACATCGGGAAGACATTAGTGATGAGGGAGCCGAGGCACATGGCTCAGACTCACCCGGTTTCCTTTGTCCCCAGGTGGTCCGTGTAAACCCTGCAATAAATCAGAGGGACGAAAACGAGTTCAGGGGAAGACCTGGGGGGGGGGGGTGCTTCCTCCGGGGCCCCAAGGCTCTGTCTGAGGCCTGATTCTTCCAAGACAGCCTTGGTTAGAAAGGAATGAAGGCGCAAACAGCTTCTTGACCTGGAAGCAAACAAGGGAGTCCTGGGCCAGGCCGGGCCAGTGTGGGTTTTCCGTTGGTGCAGGCCAGCCTGGCCCAGCTCCCTTTGGTGGGAGGAGAATTCTGAGGTGCTCCCCACCCATCCTCCCCGGCTCTGGGAGCGGCCTCACATGCTCCCTACCAGGAGGAGTCGCTCTCGGGATGGTTCCTAGTGCCACCAGCCCAGACCAGCTGGGGTCGCTCAGCCAGAGCCAAGCTGTCTGGGCACCGTGACGTGGGTCACGGGACAATCACCACGCTGTTGTCGGGAAGCCACAATCGTGGTTCTCTAAGGGGGTCAAAGAAATGCTTGTTTTTTTTTTTCTTTTTGGGCCACACCCAGAAATGCTCAGGGGTCACTCCTGACTGCACTCAGGAATTTCTCCTGGCGGTACTTGGGGGACCACATGGGATGCCGGGGATCGAACCCAGGTTGGCCGTGTGCAAGCCAAACGCCCTACCTGCTGGGCTATGGCTCCAGAAATGGTTTTGTTTTGGGTTCACACTTGGCGGTGCTCAGAGTTTACCCTTGACTGTGCTCTGGCATCATTCCTGGAGGGGCTCAGAGCACCGACGCAACGTCAGGGACAGAACCGGCATTGGCTGCATGCAAGACCAGCACTGTCTCTCCAGCTCACAACAGTTTGAGAAAACCTTTCGAATTGTTGCAGAGCCCAATCCTGACCGTGCTCAGGGGTCCACTTGGTGCTGGGGCCTTAAGGCAGTGCCTCCCGCCTGCGGGGCATTTACTGCTGAGTCCCACCCCAAAATCTGGTGGCCTTGCGTGAGGGGCAGTGGGATGGTGATGGCCATGCCAGTCTCCTGGGTTTGAGGCTGCTCTTCCCGGAGGGTCAGACCTATGGCACATTAGGTGAGATAGTCACTGCTCTGGATGGTTCCCGGGCTGAGGGTCTGGACTCCGTCCCACCCGGGGCCGTGTATACTGGACTTTGCCTGTGTACTGCCCGCCAGCAGGGTTGGAGCCTGTGGGCCCCTTGGCTTTTGACCTTGTCCCGTGTGACACGGATGGGGATTCCCACTGGGCCCCGCTTTCCTGCTGTGGGGCCTGGGAGCTGGGGAGCGGGGGTGGGCAGGGTGGAGGGAGAGACCCAGTGCCCAGGAGACTTCAGGAGACTCACAGGAAGCCCGGCTGCTCCCGTTGGTCCTGTCATTCCGGGGTCGCCTTTGCTGCCCTGTGGGAGAAGGAAGTCGTGAGCCCTCCTTGAGCGGTGACAGCCTGGCCACAGCACTGTCTCCTCCCGGCTCCCTGCAGGGGGGCTGGCTGGGTTGTGGCCTCCCCAACCCCCACCAGTGCAGAGACATGCAGGGGCTCTGGCTAGCCCAGGACTGTAGCTGGGAGGAAGAGGAGGAGGAGGAGGAGGAGGAGGAGGAAGAGGAGGAGGAGGAGGAAGAGGAGGAGGAGGAGGAAGAGGAGGAGGAAGAGGAGGAGGAGGAGCAGGAGGAGGAAGAAGAAGAGGAGGAGGAGGAGGAGCAGGAGGGCCGCAGGGAGAGGGTCAGAGAAGGGAGGAGCCGGGTTCTGGGCTTCCTCTGGTCGCACTGGGCAGCCTCAGAGCAGCCGTCCCTCCCCCAGGGCCTGGCCGTCTCAGGGAAGCCTCTGCCCCCGGCCAGCTGCTTGCTGTCCTCCCAGAGCTGGGGGGCAGAACCTCTGGGGGGGGGGGCAGGGGACTCTGCCAGGCCCACGCGCTGGCCCCGAGGAGGGGTGGAGGCACCAGGGCGGCTGGGAGGAGCCGGCACCCGGGACAGGCGTCCTGCGGCCACCCTCACTGGGGCTCGTCCTCTCTGCTGTGAACGAAACCCCCGATGACTTGGCACTGTCCCCCTGCCTTTCCCCGCACTCGGCTCCCTGCTCCCCCTCCCCCAAACAAAGCAGACAAAGTTCGGGGGTGTCCGAGCCTGAGCCTAGTCCCAGGGGACTTGCCAGACTCAGCTGGTGCTGATGCTGGTGCCCAGAGCAGGGCGGGGGACGCTTCCTGGGTCTCTGCCCCCTCCCTATTACCCCGCATCTGCCTGGCTCCCATGCAGGCTGTTGGGAGGGTCCCGGGGCAGATGGGAGATGGGGTGCTGGCGGCCTTAGGAGGAACGGACGGGAGCCCGGGGCTAACTAGGGGATTCTGCACGGGGGTCAGCCAATGCCGGGCCGGCTCTTCCCTCTGGGGGCTCGCGGGGCACTCACCCTCTCTCCCTTTGGTCCCGCTGGGCCTGGAACTCCAGTTGGTCCCGGAGTACCCTGGGTGGGGGTGAGAGAAAGCGGAGGTGACGGTGCTGGCACGGGGAGCCCTGGGGAGCCCCGCCTGACCGAGAGCCAAGTCCAGAGGCGCAGTTTTCAGGGTTGGCCAGGCTCGCTGAGGGCCGCCATCCAACCGGCCCTTGGGTTGGAAAGGTGCTGTTTGAGTTCGGGGTCCAGATTCGAGGCAGGAAACCCTCGGACATCCCAGCCAAGCTCGCCAAGGCTGAAAACAGGAGGCGTTGATGCCATCCCCGGGGCAGGGTCCGGGGGCTGCACCCCGGGTGCTCACAGCTCCACATGCAGCGGGGGGGGGGGGTCTTCATGCCGCAGACCGAGGCGGGCACAGCACACAGGCAGGCGTGGAGGGTCATTCAGCCACTGTCCCCACCCCGGCCCGCCCCATCCCAGCTGCACCGAGAGAGGCTTAGCAGGTCTGGGGATGCCCGACTGTGGCTTGGCGGGGGGTCAGGGGCCCTGTGGGGTCTGTGTGGCTCAGACTCTGGGGGCAGGAAACACCCCCGATCCTGGTTCTCCTTCCTGAGCTTCCATCGCGCTGCAAACCACGTTGGGCGGGGGCTGAGGCAGTCACCCCCGCTGGGGGTGGGCAGTGGCCATGAGAAGTGGGCGAGGGCCTGGGCCATACACTTTATGCAGAGAGTGAGAGAGGCATGTGCAGCAGGAGGAGGGAAGCCTGAGGCGAGCAGAGGGACCCCCCCCCCCCACGTGAGTGATGCAGAAACTGCAAGGGGACGTGGGTCAGAGCGGATGTCCCAGGGCCCCGGGGGGCTTCAAGTCCTGCCTGCAGGACCAGGGGTCCTCTGCCTACCGGGGGGCCCCTGGGTCTCTCTGCGTCAGCATCTGCCCCATGCGGAGGGAGGCGGGTGAACACATAGCTTCCACTATCTCCCTGACACGGGGGTGGCCATGCAGGTAGGTGGGCATTAGCGGCAGGACGGGGTAAAGGTTTGTCAGGGGGGATCATTCCTCCCCTCTCTCCCTTGAAATTCCTGATAATGTCTGTTCCTGATAATGAAGTTCATGCAGGTGCACTAAGTCCGAAGCCACACTGCTCCCTGCTGTCGGCATGCTTGGGACTGGAGGTCTGGGGGAGGGGCGTGACTGGGGTGGAGGTCCCCCCTGGGGCGGCAGGGATGGGGGGGGCTGGAGGAGAAAAGCCACAGCAAAGACGGCACAGGGGAGTGTCTGACTGAGAGTGAAACCCAAACAAAGGGACCCAGGAGATGAGGAGATGTGGTGTCCGGGGGCTCCCAGAGTCCCCTTCCTCCTTAGGCAAACAGGCAGGAAGGAGGGAGGTGCTGAGGGGTTCGCTCTTGGGCCCCCACTAGCTAAGCTCCAGGCATCTGTGGGCGTCCTCTTGAGCCCCTGGGGTCCCCAGCTCCACTCAGATCCCCAGGAAAGACTTGCCTTGGTGGGCCACGTCCCACGCAATACCACCTCAGGTCCCGTCCCCCACCCAGAGTCCCTTCCTCCCGCTCGTCCGAGCCTTATTCACTGAGGAGACTCTCGCTATGATCCTGTCCTGCAGGGCAGAGCCGGGGCTTGAGCACTGCCAGGGGGGCAGACCCATGAGCAGGTGGACAGCCCCGTGCAGGACATCCAGCCTCTGATCCCCGGAAGGTCAGTGGTTTGAAGAGTCTTTAGGATTTTCTGAGTCTAGTATTATTTTATTGGTTTTCGGGTCACACCCGGCGATGCACAGGGGTTGCTCCTGGCTCTGCACTTAGGAATTACTCCGGGCGGTGCTCAGGGGACCATCTGGGATGCTGGGAATCAACCCCGGGTTGGCCGGCCGTGTGCAAGGCAAACGCCCTCCCGGCTCTGCTATCGCTTCAGCCCCTGAGTCTAGTATTAAAGCATCTGCAAACAATGAAAGCTGGACTTCTTCCTTTCCAGGCTGGATGCCCGTGATGTCGTTTTCTTGCCTGACTGCTATGAAGGTGAGTGATCTGAGCACCGTCGGGGAGGCGACTGGCCCTGGGCCTCAGGGGTGCTCTGGGTGAAGCGGGGAGAGGCAGTTTCTGAGATGCGGGCCTGGTCTGTCCCAAGAAGGGCTGAGATGCCTTCCGGAGAGGCAAGGAGCAGGCCTGCTCTCCAGACTCAGAGCATCCTTGTTTCTTGTTTCTGCTGCAGTGAGGCCCGGGCCGGTTCACCAGGGTGACCGGAAGGAAGGGGCATGGCAGTTACAGGTCCACGAGCGCCCCTAAGGGCCAGTCCTGCCCTGCCCTGCCCTGCCCTGCAACGCTGCCTCCCTCCCGTCTCACACTGCAGACTGGAGCTTCCCCGGGAGGAGGTAGCCCTGGCAGGCGGCAGAGACAGCTCACAGCATGGACACACGCAGCGGGGGAGCACACGGACACAGGGGGGTGGGCGGGAGGAGCAGGGCGTCCCCCCCTCCCCCGCCAGGCCTGGGTTCTCAGGCGCGGCTCAGCCTCCCACCCCAGGTCTCCCAGCCTGGAGTTCAGAGGGAGGACCTGGGTGCGGCCACCCGGGGTCCAGTGGGAGAGGGGGTGGGAGGAGGCAGGACTCCTCGGGAAAACAAGGCCACAGGGACAGACGAGAAGGACCACAGGCTGGGGACGGGGTCAGGGGTCATGAGTGACACTCACCGGTGGCCCAGGCCTGCCGTCCAAACCTGAAGCTCCCTGGACGAAGGGAACAGTTGGACCGAAAGAAGGGGAGGGGAGAGACGGGAGGGAGAGAGAGGGAGCGGGAGGGGAGAGGTGAGTGGAGCGGTGACTCCGGACAGACACACACGCTGGTGCTCGACATGGGGGGACAGATGACGCGTCCACACGGAGACCGACACAAGCACGGAGACGCTGCCTGCAGTGGACACGGCCGTCTGCTCCTCCCTGCCCTGCCAGTCCCTCACGGCCTCCCACAGAGCCGCTGGCGGGGGGTGGGGGGTGGGGGGAACCAGGTGGGGGCTTGCCCAGCCTTCCGGGTGAATCCCCGGGGATCCCAGAGGCTCCGCGAGGCCACGGTGATGGGCCTGACAGATTCCTGACAACTGCTCGCAGCCCGGGCTCTGACCCTAGGCAGGGGCTCTCGAGAGGCGGATGGCCAGTGTCTCCTGGAGTAGACTGGCTGGCAGGGACAGAGGTGGACAGCTGGTGCCCCTGGGGTAGACTGTCTGGGACCAAGATGGACAGTAGCATCCCTTGGAGCACACTGGCTGGGACCGAGGTGGCCGGCCGGTGTCCCCGGAAGGTTGCTCGTACCACCCAGTTGTGAGGCTGAGCTGGCTCTCCCAACCCCTGATCAAGTCATTTTACAATCATTTCCCTCTCACGTGAGAAAGGGGGGTGCCTTCGTCAAGCAGGCAGGTGGCAAAAGGAGAGGATTCGAATACGGGGCCCTCATTCCCCACAGGCAGCGGGCAGCTGACCTGAAGAGGCTGCCCAGGGCCCCGCTCTTGCCCCTCCCCGCGGCCGCCTTGGGCATCTTGAGTGTTTCCTTGGGCTGGAGACTGTATTTCCCTGCACACCTGTTTCCTGGCGCCCCGTTTCCTAGAACCATGAGAGATGGGGCCTTTTGCTTTCTCTGGGGCATCTTGGTGGGCCGTGTCACCTGTCTGCATGCCAGCCCCTGCTTGGGCTCTCCAGGGTTCCCTACCAGCTGGGTGACGTGTGACTGAGCCGGGAGGAGTTGGGGAGGGCGATGGCAGGAAGTGTCTGCACGGTGAGGGGTCCTGAGTTCTTCCAGACACAGAGGCAGGCATGAGGAAGCCTCAGCGAGAGGCCTTCGCTCTGGAGACCTGTCAGGGGCCCAGGCTCAGCTCACCCTGCACCGGTGCCCAGGCAAGGGATGTGGTCTTTGCTCCTGTCACTGGATTCCTGCCAGGACATGAACCCCCTCCGCCAGGTGGGGAGACTGAGTACCCCATAATGCCCCTGGCTCCTCACCACTCTGGGGGCAGGACCAGCTTTGCACGTACCTAGGACTGACAGGAGACCCCAGTGTGGGCCTGTGGCCTCTGGTCCTGGCCTGCTTCTATGTGACGACTTCTATGTGACCCCAAGTGACTCCCTGCCCCTTCAAGGCCCATCAAGGAAAGTGATGGGAAGCCTGGTGAGAACCCTGCCAGGTCTTGCAAAACCAAAAGCGTGCCGAGCCCACTGGGGCGTGAGGGAGAACGGAACCCAGCGGCCCTGGGCCCCGGAAGGCAGTAAGGAGGGCAGCAGCATCTGGGGTCTGGCATCTGGCAATGCAGAGGCCTTCTCAGTGGTTCCCCATCCTTGCTTGGGGGTGTCTGGCCCGGGCAGGCTGGGAGCAGAGATTTGGGGAGCAGAGCAGCGGCTGACCCAGGGTCCCTCTGGGACGGGGTTGGGGTACGCCCTGTCCTTGTGGGCTCAGATCCGAGGGTCCGACCTGCAGTTCTCATGGGCGTCCCAGTTGAGGGCTCCTGGCGGGGCCTGGCCTGACCAGCGTCCCCCGCTCCAGGCCCTCAGACAGGGCCAGAGCCTGTGGCCTGGCTCTGCGGGCAAAAGCGTGCGGCTGTGGGATGCTCTAGTGTCCGGCGGTCGCCCCGATGGCCTGCCCAGCACATCCGGCCCGGTCAGGGCCCCCAGATACTCACGGGGAGGCCCAGCGCCCCTCGGTCTCCTTTTTCTCCCTGGATGCCTTGTTCTCCCTTCGCTCCTTCCCGTCCCACTTCCCCCTGAAGGAAAGAGAGATGGGGGGGGGGGTGTCACAAAAGGCACATCCCGGAACGCCCACCCGCATGTTCTGGGGTCCTGGCGCGGAGGGGGCGGGGGAGGAGGGACGGCCGGAGGACCCCCAGACTTGAATTCTTAGCTCTGTTAGAGAGTCCTGGGTCACTCCATAGCTTGCTACTCCCGTCCCCAGCCCAAATCACACAACCAGGCCTCGGGAGGGGGAGGGGCTGGGGGATGCAGAGCCACATGGAGGGGGCGAGATCACGTGGCAAGGCCTGTCCAGCACCCGCAGAAGTGCTCGCTGGCAGGAAAACAGGGGCCCGGCAGCTGCTGAGAAGTCACCTTTTAACATCACTGGGAGAAGAAAGGGCCCCGGACAGGAAGCCCAGTAGGGCAGGGCTGGGTCACATGGGGTCACGGGGGCCAGCAGCCCTCTGTCAAGTGCCCTCACTCAGGGGCGAAGGGAGGGCCAGGCGAGGCCACGCGGGACAAGGGCTCATCCTCAGGGAGACCCGATCCCGCCTCTCCGGGAGTCATATTGAGTTCGGGAAGGTTCTCCCTTCCAAGCTCCCGGGGTGCTCTCCCTGCTGTGCTCACACACATGCCACTGGCCGAGAGCTACAGGGCACACTTAGGGGAGGGTCCCGCCCTAACCGAAGCCCACTCCCTCTTCTTGCCGCACCCAGCACCCTGCGGCCCCATCTCACCTTTGGTCCAGGAACACCCTGGAGGCCCTGTGTGTGGAACCAAAACAGGAGGCTTAGAAGGAGGTTGGGGTGCAGCCCACATCCTTGTCCACAGCTGGGGCTCAAGGAGCAGGGGCTCAGGGAGAAGCCCAGGCTGTGGGCGAGGGTGCGTCTTCGGGGTGGGGGTCTGAGTCACCCTCTCCACAGCCCCCACTGGGCCCCCCACCGGCATCTCAGAGGAAACAACACCACGAGCGAGAGAAATGAAAGGTGCAGAACATGAGAATGTCCCACCAAGTATCACCCTCATGGGTCCTGCCGCCACCTTGGCCAGAGACCGGTGATGCCCACGGACCCCGGGTGCCTGCAAGGACCAGTGTCTGCTGGCGCAGAGAGCCAGAGGCCCTCGGGTGAGAGGCAAAGGGATTCCTGTAACCCCCTCCTCTTGTCATGTGTAACCCGGAAAGCCAGACCCCCCCTCCCGCCCACACCACACTGGCTGGTTTAAATGGGTCACGATAGGGGGCCTGATTAACTTCCGGGAGGAAGACCCCTGGAAGTGGTATGTGGGCTGCAAGAGCCCATGCTGGGAGGAGGAGGTGGCAGTGAACGGAGGTCATGTGAAGCCGGTGACCGCCAGGGGGTGGGACGGAAGGGACCCAGTAGCAGTGGGCAAAAAGGCTGATGGGGGGGAGGGCATCACACTCACAGGAGGTCCGGGAGGCCCTTCTGGCCCAGGTGGCCCAGGAAGCTAGAAGAAGAGGGAGATGGTGAGTGGACAGGGCTCTGGGCATGGCCGTGCCTTCAAGTCAGAGGCCAGAGCGATGCCCCAGAGTCACCCAGAGGAAGGATTTGCACAGGGCAGAGACGCGCCAGCCTGCACAGGGCTGGGGTCACCCCACAGCCCTGCCGGGACTGTCCTCGAGCGTCTGAAAGACCTAGAAGTGTGGCTGTGCTGGGTTCCTACTCACTCCTGGCCACACGGCCTAGAGCTGAGTGAGAGTTCCAGCCTCCAGGGGGGTCCCGGGTCCCCGCTGACCCCACTCCCCACCACTCCCCGCTGGACTTAGCCAGAGACATTCTGTGGATTTGGGACCTGCCTGGCCCTCCTGGGCATCTCAGCTCCAGACCTTTGTTTCCGAAGAGCAGAGGTTGGTCATCCGGAGCAAGACTGGCACGGGCGGGTGAGGCAAGCCGTTTTGGGGGGCGGGGGGAGCCAACCTGCCAGCCTCCGTCCAGAGGCAGGAAGGGGACCTGCCCCCTGCTTCCTGCCCTGGTCACCCCCCTTCAGTGCTGCCACTGGTGTGAACCACTCATCTGCCCAAGGGCAGCCGGGACAGAGACCCCAGGACAGACAGGCAGCCCCTCCTCCCGGGGGCTTCCATGTCTTCTCGGAAATTCAGCCTGCAGAACCTCCACTCTCATTAGAAGGCACTTCCTGTTTTCTTATAAAGACATCACACGCCTTCTCTGCGATACTGGCTCTACAAACCTACGTGTGGATCAGCATTCGAGTAATTGTACACATTCCCTGTGCCCCAGGCCTGTTTTACCGTACAATGATGTTGAAATGTTAAAAAATTCAAATAGCACTGTAGCACTGTCCTCCCGTTGTTCATCGATTTGCTCGAGCGGGCCCAGTAACGTCTCTATTATGAGACTTGTTGTTACTGTGTTTGGCATATCGAATACGTCACGGGGAGCTTGCCAGGCTCTGCCGTGCGGGCAAGATACTCTCGGTAGCTTGCCCGGCTCTCCGAGAGGGGCGGAGGAATTGAACCTGGCTCAGCCGGGTTGGCTGCACGCAAGGCAAATGGCCTACCGCTGAGCTATCAGTCATACTCCTATTTCAATATTTTATAGATTAAAGAAAATTGAGGGGGCCTGGAGCAATAGCTCAGTGGGTAGGGCATTTGCCTTACACGCGGCTGACCCAGGTTCGATTCCCAGCATCCCATATGGTCCCCGAGCACTGCAAGGAGTGATTCCTGAGTGCAGAGCCAGGAGTAACCCCTGAGCATTGCCAGGTGTGACCCAAAAAGCAAAAAGAGAGAGAGGGAGGGAGAGAGAGAGAATTGAGGGGCCAGAGCAATTAGTACAGCGGGTAAGGTGCTTCCCTTGCACACAGTCGAACCATGTTCCATCCCCGGCATCCCATATGGCCCCCCAGCTCTGCCAGGAGTAATTCCTGAGCGCAGAGGCAGGAGGAAGCCCTGAGCAACACTGGGTGTGCCTCCAAAACAAAAAATCAAACAAAAAAATTTGAAAGAAGGAAACCGAATAAAAAACTCACATTTATTTTTCTAGCAGAAAAGGACAGCTATTATTTGGCTTTATTTCTGCTTAAACACAGAAGATGTGTTTCAATGGATGTTTATACTTAGGGTGACATTATATCTATAATTTGGTTCTCTGCTGTTTTTCACTTAACACGACACTCATTTTTCCATATTTTTTTTTGGGGGGGATGTGCCCCACCAGGCTCCTTTTTATGTTGATGTGGATTCATTAAGTGGAATGAAATGAGCTGTAGGCCAGCCAGGCCTGCGTCGTGCTTGGCATCAGGAGAGCCTGGGCCTGGAGACCATTATTACCATTAGTATTATGACCATAAGCTATTTGATCATTTCCTTCTTGTTAGAAATGCGGGCTGTTTCCGATTCATCTTTAAATACTTCTGGAAGATTTTTTTTTTTTTTGCACACAAGGCTTTACTTGCATTTAGGAGCGTTTCTTTGGGAGACTGCATCTCTCAATGAGTAACATGCATCTTTAGGAGACTGCATCTCTCAATGAGTAACATGCATCTTTAGGAGACTGCATCTCTCAATGAGTAACATGCACGTTCTATAATCAGGTCTGTTTTGCTAAATACTGACAGGGCTGGTGACTTGAAGTGGCGAGAGGGCCCTAGGGGACCTCTCCAGGGACAACAGCTTGGTGGTCTCTGTCTGAGCTTTGTGACAGTGCCTGGGTGGCCCAGCACCCATAAAACATGCTTTCCGGTGCATATGTTTACGCTCTTTCTTTTAAGTTTTATAGAATTATGGGTTTTGGGCCACGCCCAGTGGTGCTCAGAGTTTACTCCTGGCTCTGTGCTCAGGGGTCACTCCTGGCGGGTCTCTGGGTCTTATGGGGTGCAGGATGGGACCTTTGTTGGCTGTATGCAAGGACAGTACTACCACTGTGCTATCACCCTTCTATCTCTCCTTCCTTCCTTCCTTCCTCCCTCCCTCCCTCCCTCCCTCCCTTCCTTCCTTCCCTCCCTCCCTCCCTCCTTCTTTCCTGCCTTCCTTTCCTTCCTTCCTCCATTCCCTACTCCCTCCCTCCCTCCTTTATTTCCTCCCTCCCTCCCTCCCTCCCTCCCTCCCTTCCTTCCTTCTTTCCTTTCTTCTCTTCTTTCTTCCTTTTTTCTTTCTTCCTCTCCTTCCCTTCCTCCTTCCCTTCCAGCTTAGAACCCCTTGTCCCCCATTGCTTGCAGGGGGTCTGAGGTCCTTCTGTAGCCTTCCTGCCTTTCTTCCTTGAACCTACAAATAGTTCTCATTCCCTCCCACCTCTCGAGAACCCACCTCCAGAGTTTCTTAGGTAAACTTGTGCAAAGTCTTCCAGATGATGCTTAAATGCCCCCCTTGGGGGTTCATCCCCCCACCCTCGAGTTGCCGGCGGCTGCATTTTCCTCTCTAGAGACTCTGGTATCTGGAGTACCATTGGGAGCCCAATCAACAGCGGGGGCCGGGAGACCCCCATGTGAAGCATTCAGCTTCCCGCCCACCCAGGGCAGGCGCCCGTCCATTTCCTGCTAGAACACGGCAATGTTGTCTTTGCTGGAGACGCATGTGTGTGCTGGGTCACACACAGAGTCCACCTACCTCTGCTCCCGAGTCCCCCTTCTCCCCGGGCTCTCCTTTCTCTCCCTGTGGGCACAAGACAACAGGTGTGGGTGCCCGCACTCAGGCCTGGGCATGTCCGCTCACTCCTGTGGCCAGGGCTGGCCTCAGTCACCCAGGAACATGTAGAGGCAGTGAGTGGTCAGTGTGGAGGACAGAGTGCCAAGGTTCCAGGATCTGAGGTCCCAGCACACGTGGGCTGTGGAGCTGTGGAGCTGGCACCATGGTCCTCTGTCTCCCAGGGGCCCCCCATAACCAAGATCCTGTGTCAGACGGGACAGACTCTGACACTCATGACTACGTGGTAACTTGTATGACAGGACCGCAGCAGATTGATCAGCAATATGTTGAGATTATGTTGAAAATATATCACATGGGGTTGAAGGGATAGTACAGCGGGCAGGGGGCTAGACCCGGGTTCAACCCCCACCACCTCATATGGTCCCCGAGCACTGCCAGGAGTGATTCCTGAGCGCAGAGCCAGGAGTAATCCCTGAGCATCGCTGGGTGTGACCCCTAAACAAACAAACCCCCAAGCAAAAATGTATCACACATAGACACACTCGCAGAATACTCAGAAATATGTAGATATGCACACACGCACACACTTGTCCCGTACATACATACATACATACACACATACACTTACATACTGACACGCACACATATACACACACACATATGGACACACACCTTCACTCACACACTGACATACACTGTATATACTCAAAGGCACATGTACACTCACACACATGTATACACACACACGCACTCAGACCCAGAGACACACTGGCACACACCAACACAACATTGTCACCCTCATCTGCAGACACACAAACACACACTCACAGACACATTCACACACATAAACACACACCAAGAGACACACGTGGCCACACTCCCGCCCAGACACACAGGCACACACACAGCTGGTCTTGCTGGCCTGCGTGGACACTCCCCCTGGCCCTGGCCTGGAAGGACAGGCTGCTGGCCGGGGCCTGTGTGTGGGACTGTGGGGAGATGGGGTGGCCTCACACATGCAGGGGGGTTAGCCCAGGGGTCCCAGAGAGAAACGAGAGGGTCACGCTGGTGTGCAGGCCACCCGAGTGCTGCCCACAGAGCTAAGGCTGTCCCCGGCGCATGGGAACGGCACAGCCGATGGTGCTGATGGTCCCTGGTGGAGTCTAGGCGGGCAGGCTGGGGGAATCCTGGCCCCCAGGGAAACGCGTGAGGCACAGAGGTGGCTCTGCTGAGGGCCTGCACAGCTGGGCACTGGCTAGAGCTGCCCGGCCGTGCAGGGGGTGCTGAGGGGGCACACTGGGTGGAGCTGCAGGGGGCAGTCTTGGTCAGCGGTGCGAGGCGTGCCCACCTACCCGAGTGCCCGGCGCAGCAGCTGCTGTCCAGGGACCCCCACGTCTAAGGGGACAGTCTGTACCGGGCTCTGGTTCTGGTTGGAGCTGCAGCCCTGGTTGACGCTCAGACGCCCGCACCCTGGGCAGCTCTGGGGGTCCCCTGCCCCTGGACAGGGCTGAGCGTAGCCCTCGGGTCTTACCGTGAATCCCGGCAGCCCGATGGGGCCGGGCAGTCCTGTGGCCCCTGGTCTCCCTGGGCTGCCTGGTTCTCCTTTCTCCCCAGTTGGGCCATCCAGGCCCTGCAGTGGACAAAGGTTTCGGTCAGCTGGGTGTGCGTGTTCATGGGGGCGTGCGTGGGGCCCGGTGGCACGGCTGGAGGGGACCCCTTGCACACCTGGGGACCCTCGGCAGGGGCAATGGGTGTCCAGTAGGACCAGGCGAAGGCCTCTGTTCTGTGCATGCAATGAGGACCCCCCAACCCACCCCACTTCATGCCTTCAACAGCCCAGTGAGAAATCCTGGAAGCTGTGCTGTGCATCTCAGAGATGGGCCTGGGCACCCCCGGAGACGGCAGAACAGGCCCAAGAGCTCCTGAGGGCTCCTGTGGGGGACCCCGGGAGCCCCCACCCCAGCCCCAGGACCTGACTGTTCCCGCCCAGTACTGGGGGCCCCCTGTGACACTCACCGGCGAGCCCGCCTGGCCCGGCTCCCCCGTGGCCCCCTTCTCTCCCGGGCTCCCCGTCTGTCCGCTTTCTCCCTTGGTGCCTGCAGGCCCGGCCTTTCCTGGGGGGCCTTGGGGGCCCGGCGGGCCCATGTCTCCGGGTTTGCCTCGAGGTCCCTTTGGAAAGCAACAACACTCGTTGGAAATGCTGATGGAGAGAGGCGAGAGGAGAGAGACAGAGAGACGGATAGTGACAGAGGAATGGACAGAGACAGAGAGAGACAGAGAGAGACAGAGACAGATAAAGACAGACAGACAGAGAGACAGAAAGAGAGAGAGGGAGAAGGAGGGGGAGAAGAGGGAGAGACAGAGAGAGAAAGAGAGAGGGAGAGAGAGACAGACACAGAGAGAGAGACAGAGAACTCCAAAAGGAGGGGCACAGAAACCTGCCCTTGGGGTCGACTGGGCCAGGTGACTATGCGGGTCCCCGGCCACCGTGAGGGCCACCGTCATCCTCTGGGCTGCAGGGTGGCACCCCCTTCCCTTGCCCCCCGTGCAGAGCTCACAGCAGACCGGGTGCTTTGCTGCCCTCCCAGGCAGGGGCCCGGGGTGCTTCGGCGAGTGTCCATCTGTCCTTACCTTTTCCCCGTCGTGGCCTGGAGGCCCCGGCAGCCCGATCTCCCCCTGCGGCAGAGCAACACAGGTCACACTCGGGTCACGGGACACGCGTGTCCCCTCCGTGCTCATGCCTCAGCATGCACCCAACAGTGGCTGCACCTTGTCCCGATGACAGGGGCCAGTGCTCGGAGCCAACAGCCTGTCAGCCACGGGCGGCTGGGTGCCACGATCCTTGTTTGCACGCAGTGTCCACGGCCCCCTGTGAGCTCGGCCCTCCCTCCTCGGGCTCCCCCAACCCTGCTCCACAGGGAGGCCCTTCGTCCTCACACCTCAGGTAAAGGAGGATGAGGAAGGAGGGACGTCTCTCTGAGGTCATCAACCAGCCACCTCAGAAGGCAAAATGACGCAAGTGTGGACAACAACAGAAAGAGAATGGGTGTGTTCTCTGGACAGATTGTGTGTGTGTGTGTGTGTGTGTGTGTGTGTGAGAGAGAGAGAGAGAGAGAGAGAGAGAGAGGTGAAAGTATGTGAGAGTTTGTGTGTTTCTGAGCGTGAGCGTACAGTATGTTAGTGAGAATGTGTGTCTGTGTGTGTGACTGTCAGTGTGTGGCAGAGGGTGTGTGTGAGCATGTGGGTGAGTTTGTGTAAGCATGTGTGAGAGGATGTGTGTGTAAGCGTGTGTGAATGTGAGCGTGTGAGTGTGAATGTGTGAGTGTATGTGTGAGAGGGTGTGAATGTGTGTTAGTGAGGATGTGAGTATATGTGAGAGGGTTGTGTGAGTGTGTGAAAGGGTGTGTGAGTGTAGGTGTGTCTGTGTGTGTGAGAGAGGGTGTGTGTGAGGGTGTGCATGCGAGAGAGGGTGTCGGTGTGAGGGTGTGTGGTGAGGGAGTGTGTCAGTGTGAGGGTGTGTGTGAGGATGTGTGAGAGAGGGTGTGTGTAGTGTATTTAAGGATGTGTGTGTATGTGAAGGTGTGTGTGTGAGAGTGTGTGTGTGAGTGTGTGTGAGGGTGTGTGTGAGAGGGTGTGAGGGTGTGTGTGTGTACGAGTTGTGTGTGAGGGTGTGTGGAGTGTTTTGTGATGAGAGTAAATGTGTGTGTGACTTGTGTGTGTGAGAGGGTCTGAGTTTGTGTGAGCATGCGTGACTGTGTGTGATCCGAGAGGGTTGGCGCTGTTCACAGGACCTTGGGAGCAGGGCAAGGGCCGGGGCTCGGTCCCCTCCCTGGCGGGGCAGGCTGGGATCCCTGCTGGGGGTCTGGCTGGGATAGGCAGAGTTCCGGGGTCCCGTGTGACACAGCCGCTGAGGGCCCCACACAGGACGGGGCTGGGGTGCAGCCTGGGGCCCACAGCGGCGACTCCGCTTCCGGCCAGACAAGCGTTACCTTTTGACCTGGGGTCCCTGGAGCGCCAGGTGGGCCGATTTGCCCGGGAAGACCAGGGGGGCCCTAGAAAATAGAAATGGAAGTGGAGGCGCAGCCTGGCGAGGGTGGGCCCCGGCGTGTCTGAGGCTGGTCTGAGAGCAGCTCCCCGGCGTCTCCCGCGGGGGCAGGCACTGCAGAGGAAGCGCCAGGAGCCCGAGTTGAGCAGGGCCGCCCCGAGAGCGTCTGGGTTAGAGTAGGGGGGGGTGGGTATGCTAGACTCCCGACTGTGCTGCTCTGCCAACGTTTCTGACCTGGGGGGTTCACTGCCCCCTGGGGCCCTACAGGATATATTCCCAGGGGCCACAGGTGAAAAGTGCGTACGTGAGGGGTCACAGCACAAGATTAGGGGGGACACCGATAGGACGGGGTCACAGGAAGGAAATAAGGTGGCGGGGGCGGGCCAGATAAAGGTTGGGAACCCAGGGCTCCAGCCCCCGGGGGCTCCAAGAAGACAGAGTCCTCAAAGGGCCCCAAGACAGAGTCCTCAAAGGGCCCCAGGAAGCAGCTTGCAGGGGCCTCAGGAGGCAGGCCTCCTCCCCGGGAGGAGCCGGGCACGAGGTGCCGAGCCCAGGAGGAGGCAGGCATGACGCAGACCCCAACACCCTCCGCCCCTGTTCCTGCCCATCCCCCCAGCCCCTGCCCAGTGCCCGCCGAGGGAGGCTCACCATCAGGGCCAGCGTGCGGATCTCCTGGAAACCAACAGCACAGTCAGTCAGAGGGGCGGGGTGGGCACGGCCACCCAAGGGGTCTCCGTCCAGTCTTGGGGCGCATGGACCCTCTCGGCAGGCGGGTCACCTGCCAGCCCCACCCCACCCCACGCCTGGCCCAGAGGTTTGCAGCCACATCTCACAAATGGTGCTCTGGGGGTCTGTGCCCGCCGGCCGCCCCGGCCCCCACACCTACTTCTCCACGGAGGGAGGGGAGCAATCCCCTCGTTCTTATTGGCTCACAGGGACCCCCTTTTGGGAAGGGGGAACACACCTGGGGGTGTTCAGGGCTTACTCCTGGCTCTGTGCTCAGGGATCACTCCTGGTGGGGCTTGGGGACCCTACGGGGTGTTGGGGATTTGAACCGGGGTCAGCCACCAGCAAGACAAGCACCCTGCCCACCGGCTGTCCTCTCCCGCTTCACGGCGACCTGCCTTTGCTCTATCCTCTTTCTCCGATTTCAAGGCTCTGGCATTTCCCAAACACAATATAGAAATATAGGACCCCCCCCCCCCCAAAAAAAAAACCAACCCCAGGGACCACAGCTGGCATCCAGCCAGACCTTCTGTTCTGGGAACACAGGTACGAAGATTCCTTCGAAGACGGGGTCCCGAGCTCCAGAGCCGCTTGGGATTCTGGGTGACACCAGGCAATGTCTGGGGACTCTTTTAGGTGGTTCAAAGGCGGGGCAGGCACGGCTGGCCTCTGGGGGCTAATGAGTCAGGCCCGCTGTCTGGACGCCTGCCCCCAGCAACATCGCCCCCCACAATGGCCCGAAGATCACCAGGTCCGAATGGGAGCCGCACAGGACGAGGGACCCCTACGGAGGTCGTTCAGCTCCGGGGTGTCCAGGAGCCCGCGGTCCCTGGCTAGCTGAGCCGAGACGGAGCCAGTGCCCGGGCAGCTCCCATGGGTGGCACCCTGGGGCGCTGGTGCCCTCCCGCCCAGGTCTGGGGGCCCCGCACACCTGGAGCGCCTCGCTGATGTTGCCGTTGTAGCCCACCATCTCGCCTTTGCCTGGCTCCCCCTTGGCACCCTGCAGGACAGAGGAGGGGGCAGGCCTGGGTCAGCGGGCACAGGGGACGGAGCGGCAGGGGTGGGAACTGGCCAGCCTGTCCGGGAGTCCTGGACCCCGCCTGGGCAGCTGAACCTCGAAGGGCGGACAAGCCCCCGGGCTCCTGTGATCCTGGCCTGGCCGCGGCCTTGCCCTGGCTCGGCCAGCTCCCCTGGGACCCTGGGGACACCCCTCCTTTGCCGCGTGCCGCTCTGTGGGATGCCACGTACCGGGGGGCCGGCGGGTCCCTGCGCTCCAGCTGCTCCGGGCTCCCCCTGTGGATGGAACATGGGGGTGAGGAAGGGACAGGGGGACAGGACACTCAGGTGGCCCTGTAACTGCAGCCAGACAGGCGGCCCGGGGACTCCGCTTCCTCCCTGGGGGGCACAGACCTCCGGAGTCATTCATCCCTCACCCCGCAGGAACCATCTCCCTTTCCAGAACCTTCCGTCCCTGTGGGGACCTGTGGCCCCTCTGTCCCCTCCCGCCCTGGACATCTGCTCAGCCCACGGGCTGGACAGTCCTCTGAGGCCAATGGAGAGTCTGGCCGGCTCTTTTTGGGGTCCCTCTGCTTATGAAAGGCCCCGTCTGTGGGGGAGGGGGCAGTGTGAGACATTAGCTGGGGTCAGGCCTGTGGCACCTCCCAGGCTGGGAGACCAAGACGGGCTCAGAGCTGGGGGTCTGTCATGGAAACCCCCATAAGCGGGGTTCCGGCCCTGGAGGGACGCGGCCTTCCATCCCTGTGGAGAGAAGGAGAGAAACAGGGGCCGGCCCTGGCCTCTCCCCAGCCCATCTCCATCCCTCGGCACTCCTGCCGTCTCCAGAAGGTTCTCCAGGGACGGGCCAGCACCAACCCCGCACCCGACTCCTGTGGGGGGCCTGGCTGTGGGGGTCGGGCTGCAGGGCCAAGGCTGCGTCACCGCCGTGCTCATGGCCGGGCCTCCGTACCTTGTTTCCTGGCTGTCCCGGGGCCCCGGCCTGGCCCTCAGCGCCAGCTTCTCCCTGGGGAAGGAGGGCAGGGCTGAGGCGTGGAGTGATGCAGGTCAGGCCTCACCCACTGCATGGGCTCCTCGCTCCCCGCTCCCTTGGGCCCAGCCCAGGGCTCCCCCACACCCCGACCTCCTCCTCCTGCTCCTGCCCCAGGCACTGGCATCTCCCAGGCTCCCTCAGGACGGGAGGGTCTCAGCCCCCACTCAGGGATGCTGCCCCCCACGGAAGCTCTGACCACCCTCAGGGGCACTGACCCCCCACGTAGATCTGACCCCCCACAGAAATGCTGACCCCCACAGAGGCACTGACCACCCCCCCCCATCGAGGCACTGATCCCCCACAGGGGCACTGACCACCCCACAGAGATGCTGACCCGGACAGAGATGCTGACCCCCACACAGAGACCCTGACCCTCCCCCCCCCACAGAGGTGCTGGCCCAGAAGCCCAGCCCACACCTCCCAGAGCTGCTGAAATCCAGCGGCCCCTGCTCTGGGGGTCCCAGCCTGGTCTGCAGGCCCCTCAGTGCAGGGAAGTGGAGGGTGGTCTGTTACAGGGAGGCCCCTGCTGCCCTTGCCACCTGTGGGGTCAGCACCTGCACAGGCTGGATGCTCAGAATCTGGGGCCGGGTGGGGGGGTCTTTCTGACTTGGTTACGTCACAGCCCCTAGGACCGGGGGCTGCCCGGGGGGCCCCACAGCCAGGACAGGCAGTAGCAGGGGGTCTGGACACAGAGGATGCAGGTTGAGGCGGGCGGTCCCTGGGTGCGGTTCCCTGAGAGAGACTCACCTTTGGCCCCGGGGGCCCTGGGAGTCCTGGGGGTCCGGGCTCCCCTCTGCCTCCTCCAATGGCGTTGCCCGCGTCGCCCTTCTCTCCCTGAAGGCAAGCAATCGAGAGTCACCACTGCGCACCCCATGACCGCCGACCCCAGGGCTCGTCCCCCCACACCCGACACCCCGGGCGGGGCCAGTGAGGGCTGGTGGGCCCAGGGGCCTGGCCGGGGAACCGTGATGCTCGGTGAGGCTCTGGGATGCCCCTGGCTCCTCCGCACAGAACCCGACCAGCGACCAGCAAAAATGGGATGGGAGTGACAGTTCGGCAGGGGAGCGGGGAGGGGGGGTGCGTTTGCCTGGCACGCAGCAGACCCGGGTTGGATCTCTGGCATCCCATATGCTTCCCCGAGCACTGCTGGAAGCGATCGCTGAGAGCAACCAGCTGTGCCCCCCCAAACAAAGGCATGGCCACTTTCTGGCTACTTCGGACCTCCCAGGTGGCCCCCCATGATCTCCCCTTCCCGGGGAATCGGGCTGTGTCCCAGCCGCTGCCCTCGCGCCAGTCTGGAAGAGACGGGGTGGACTGTGAATGCATGCGGTGGGGACGGACGCGAGGCCTTGGCACCGGCCAGACCTCAGCCACACTTACCTTCTGCCCCAGGAGCCCGACGAGCCCGGGAGCACCCGCAGTCCCCTTCTCGCCCTGCCGAGGAAACACAGCAAGGCACTGGGACACCTCCAGAATGCTCTAGAAGGGTCCAGCAGCCCCTGCCTTCCTCTCCTTCCTCGCTGGCCCTCCTTCAGTGAGCCACCTTCAGAAGGACTCTGCTTCCGTGGGCCACCCCTCAGTCCCCGCTCCTTCCTTCCCCAGGCCCTTTCATATGGTGACAGGGTGACGGCCTGTCACTGTCTCCTGCCTAACGCCAAGACTGTCCCTTCGGGGCTGTGCTGGGGCGTCCAGAGAGCCGTAGCCGGGAAATCTCTGGGCCCTACTCTGCCCTTCCACCGGGGGTGGCCCGAAGACTCTCCTGGCCACTTCCTCCCTGACTGCAGGGGAGAAAAGGGCCCCAAATTTGTCGGGAAGGAGTGCTGTGAGAAGTTCGCCGCCTGTGCTGGGTTGCATCTCATTTTCCCAGAGTGATAGTCCAGCAGGGAGGGCATTTGCCTTGCATGTAGCTGACTCGGGTTCGATCCCTGGCACCCCATATGGTCCCCCAAACACCACCAGACGTAATTCCTGAGTGCAGAGTCAGGGGAAACCCCCAAGCATTGCCAGTGTGATCCAAAAAGAAAACAAACAAACAAAATCTCCTTTTCCCCAGAGTTGCAGCTGAAGGTCCAGATCCCCCTGTCTCTCTGACTTGTGGCTCCTTGGACAGAGTGGGTTGGGCTAGGAGGCGGCGCTGGTCGGTCAGTCCGGGCCCCTGACCCAGCAGACCCACTGTCCTGTCCAAAGGGGGCATCGGGACACAAACAAGCCTGGTGGGCAGAGCTGGAGCTGGAGCGCCCTGGACGGGGAACCCGGGAAACCCGGAGAGGCCGGCCCGGCTTCCTGCAGCCCCGTCTCATCTGCCCACTGCCAGGCAGGAGGGCATGCCGGGGCTCGGCCACCCAGTCTGTGCCCATGGTCGGGCAGCTGGATACACTTGGCGCCACTCTGCGTGCCTTCTTCCTTGACCCCAGCCACGGAAACTTCTAGACGCTGGGCCGGCATGCCCCCCTCTAGACTAAGATGCTCCCGCACAGCACAGATGGGCCTCGTGGCTGAACCCCTTAAGGAAAAGCCGGAAAGCTCTGTGGAAGAGAGATGGCTTCCCCGGCCCCCCCAAAGGTTAGCACTAGAAGTTCTCAGGGGTGGGCAGCTGCTAGTCTGAATCCTGTATTTCCCAGACGTATCTGACTAAAGAAATTTTTTTCTTTTGTAAAATTAGCAGGCTGTTTTTGTTTTGTTTTGGGGTCATACCAGGTCATGCTCAGGGGTTACTCCTGGCTCTGCACTCAGGAATTACTGCTGGCAGGGCTCGGGGGACTCTGTGGAATGCTGGGAATCGAACCTGGGTCGAGCATATGAAAGGCAAGCGCCCTACCCGCTATGCTATCTCTCCAGCCCCTGCTGGATTTTCAATTCTCTCTGTCTCTGTCTCTGTCTCTTGGGCCACAACCAGCAGTGCTCAGGGCTGTTCTGGCCCCAAGCTCAGGAGTAACCCTTGGCCCTGCCTGGGGTCCGTATGTGGTACTGGGCTTGAAGTGGGCTTGGCTGCAGAAAAGCAAGTGTCTTGGTCCTTTCTCTGGCCCAACTTACATCTTTATCATGTGGGGTTCGGGGTGGGTCCCCATGTGCAGGGGCCTGCGGGCCACTTCCGTGGATTTGGTCACCTGCGTTGATGATTCAATGCCAGGAGGCAGAGGTACAAGGACCCACCGGGCACAGCCGGCCATGCCTGGAGGTGCCCAGGGGCCCTGTGTGGGGTAGAGCTGGGGTCGGCCTGAGAAAGCCTGTGTCCTGACCCCTGCACCATGTCCCTGACCTTGTCCTGTTACACCTGTTATCATCCCAGATCAGGGTTCTTCTACCCTCGACACCAACCTGGCATTAAAACAGGCTGTCCAAGGGCGAGAGAGAGTACAGAGGCTTAGGGACTCGCCTGGCACGCTACTGACTAAGGTTCCATCCCTGGCACCCAGGTGGTCTCGAGTCCTGCCAGGAGTCAGCCCTGAGCACTGCCGGGTGTGTCCCCCAACCAAAGCAAAAACCCACCAACCCAGCAACGGTGCCGTGTCCTAGACAGGCCCGGCATGTTGTCCGGGGGCCCATGCCATGGCACATGGGGACTGGCCAGGTCAGGGGCAGAGTAAGGCAACACCGTCCTGACCACAGACAGGCCCGAACTCAGCTCAGGAAGGTCCCCATCCCCGGGTCAGCCTCAGGCGACCCGGAGCAAAGCCCCAGGAGTCTGGCCCGCCTCCATTCCACCCTGCTCCATGCGGCCCAGAACATTCCCTGGGTTCGGTACCTTGGCTCCTGGGGTCCCAGGCTCACCCTGAGGGAGGAGGAAAAAGAGAAGTGGGTGAGGAAATGGGAGAACAAGGCGGGAAGGGGGTGCACAGCACAAGGGGCCGAGGCTCCAGCTGGGCACTGCCCACCCCCTCCCCAGGAAGACCTCCCAGGCGTCAGCAGAGGGAGCGGTAGGCGGGGGCGTTTGGCTGTACCCAGACACCCAGGTGTGGCACTCAGAAGAGTCGCGGGCCCGTGCACGAGGGGAACCTGCTGGGGCCAGCTGTGTCCGGCCCGTGGGGCGCCCGGGATGCAGGGGCTGACGGGCCGCACTGCCCGGTGCTCCTTAGGCCACACCCCAGCGTGAGTCGGGGGGTACGCGCCAGCATCGGGGGCTCGTCCACTCCCACGGAGCCTCGAAGCCCGAAATCTCCAGCGTCCCTCTACCCCCTGCGCCCGCAAAGCACCTCCCAAGTCGCCACTGACCTTCATTCCGGCCACTGCGATTCCTGGCGCCCCCTGAACAGAGAGAAAAGGCAGGTGTGGGAGGAGGGGGCGCCCCCCCACGCCCACCAAAACAGCACCCTGGGTGAGGGGTGGGACGGAGACCCGGGGGAGACTTGGTGGCACCTGCCTCGAGGGGGCTGCCGAACTCCGGGGGATGCCCTAAGTCTCCGCCCACACCACTGGGGGCCCGCTGTGGGGTCCCCCAGCTCCTGGGGCATGACGGACACTGTGTCCCGGGAGCTGGGCAGGGGGGTAGTGGCAGCACTGGGAGAGGGGAGGGAGAGGAGAGGGAGGAAGGGAAGCAGGTTGGAGAGCAGGGGTGGAGGAGGGTGGGCGAGGCTACTGGGGCTGGGGCAGGGCCCAGAGGGCTGGGATGGCTCAGGAACAGTCGCCGGTCTGAACTCCTCACACCTGCTCCCAGGTGAGCAGGCGTCTCGCTCAGGAAACCCTGGCGGGGCCTCAGGATGGCCCAAGCTATGGCTGCTGAGGGGTCAGGGGGCCCAGGACAACTGGGGGCAGGCAGGGAGGGGCTGGCCTCTCAGGTGTCCCTCGGTGGGGATGCCCCGGGGCTGTGGGAACAGGGGAAGTACCTTGGCGCCGTGTTTGCCTGGCATCCCTGGCATGCCCCTTTCTCCCTGGAGGAAGGAAGAAGAAGCACCATGAGTGGAGGTGGAGGCGTGGAGTTTCAAGCAGACGGCCATCTCTGGCTATCTGCAGGCTCAAAGCAAGGCAAAGCCCTCTCATTGCCTCCGAGAGGACTCCCTGGGAGAGTGGCTCAGGCCCAGAGGGCGGTCAGGGAGATGGTGTGTGTTGGTGTGTGTGTGTGTGTGTGTGTGTATGTGTGGTGGGGGGGAGTCTTGAACCCCAGATGGGACGGCAGGGCCTTATCTGAACGCGCAGGTCTGTGCCGTGGCCAGCAGAGGGCGCCATATGACCTCTCTGACACCCGGCAACCTTGACAGGCAGGTGGTCACGCGCCCCTGAAGGGCCCCATCACTCTCTCCTCAGAGGCCTGGGGTCTCCTGCTAGTATTCCAAAGAGCACAGTCATGTTGACTCAGAGAGAGACACTTCCTGAGTTGGGGGTACAGGTGGGAGGTCAGCTCGGCACCCCCCACCCCCGGGCCCTGCCCAGGCCTCTCGGGGAGGACGGCTGTTGGTCCACCCTCTTCCTCTCGGGCCCCCTCCAGCGCCCCTGCCCTCCTCCGCCGGCCTCTATTTCGGGGAGCTGGGCTGAGAGTCAGGAAAGGCTGTCCGTGTGACCCCAGATAAGCCACATTCACTCGGGGCAGGATCCTTGTCTGCAGAGGGAGATTAGGCCGACACTTCCTACCCAAGCCCGCTCCCCTCTCTCCAACCCCCACAGCCCGCCTGTGTGTCCTCAGGGAGTCTGAGGGCCCTGGAGGGAGAGTTCCCCGAGGCTCAGCCCTGTGCTGGCCCTGTGGGTCTCGAGGCCCATCCCAGGAACGCCTGCCCCCTGGAGCCCTGAGGCCCCCGCCCTTCTTGCAGAGATGGAGACCACGGCGCCTCCCTTCTCTCGCCATCTAGGCTCCTGGCTCCTCGCGCCCCCACCCAGGGGCAGCCTGCCTGCCTGCCCACACGGAGCCCACCACACGCACCCACGCAATGCACACCATGCTCAGACACACATGCAGACCCACACACGCAGGCACAGACACAGTACACACACGAATATGTGCGCACACACACAACGACGGCTCCCAACAGGCAGGCGACGGGTGTCCCGGTGGCTTGTGTCCCCCAGGCTCGCCCACTCGTTCCTCTTTCTCCAGGGTGCGTGCCAGCAGGCCGCCCCACCTGACCTCAGAAGGCACCGCTGGGCGCATCTGTGAGCAGTGAGCACCCCTCCTGAGCGGGGTGAGTGTGAGCAGGGGGCAGCACGTGGGTGTGGGGACCCAGACTGTGTGGAGGGGTGACTCCGGGGCATGGCTAATGGAACCTGCCACACTGCAGAACGGCCCGGGAGCTTGTCTTTGTCAGAGCACCTTCCTTCCTGTTTCCCTGCTGCAGTGATTCTGTCAGGAAGCAGAGAAAGGGACTCTGTCAGGAAGAAACTGATTCTATCAGGAGGTAGAGGAAGTGATGCGGCCAGGGAAAGAGAAAGCGATCCTGCTAGGAAAAGAGGAAGGCGATTTTCTCGGGAAGAGAGAAAGTCGTTCTGTTAGGAAAAGAGAAAGGGATTCTGCCGGGATGAGGCTCGGTACCCAGCACACGTGTGTGAAGTCCTGGGTTCCAGCACCCCCTGCCCCTCCCCCACCGGGATGCTGTTCAAGGTTTTCAGTGTGGCTGCATTTGGATCCACTCAGAGACTCTGGCTAACGCCACCCTCCTGTTCGTTCGTTCCTAGCCTCTGTCCTAGTTTATTCCTCTTCCGCTTCTTTGCTTCCTTGGGGCCCCCAGAAGCCCCCCCAGTGAGTGCTCAGCCAGTGGGTCTGGGTTGTCCTGCAGTGGGTCAGCGACCCAGAGCCGGGGGTGTGGACGGCAGAGAAGCCAGGCTAGAGCCCACGCGGGAGACCATCTCTCAACACCCCTGCTGGGCAGTGGCCCCCGGGGAGGGGGGGACGGTCCCTCCCTGTGTCACTGGGAGCACAGGAGGGAGATCGCAGCGGCCTGGAGCACCCACACACCGGCCTACTCTCCTGCAGCCCCCACCCCATCCCAGCATCAATAGGGCCTCTATTCTGCCCCCCGCTTCCAGGTGGGGGACCCATCCGTCAGGCAGACAGGCTGCGTGGAGCTTGGCGGGGCAGGCAGCCCTGCGGCCGGCCTCTTAATTTGGTGATTTACTGTTTGTTGGACAAGTGGGGCCAGCACTTGGCTAGAAGCTGGCGGTCTGGGGGAGCCAGGGGCCTCAAGGTCAGGTCCCAGTGAGGCAAGGGTCAGGTCAGAGCAGCCTGGGTAGATGAATGGGTCCCTGCGCAGGCCAGGCTGGGGCGGGGGGTGGGGGCAAGGCACACAGACCCTTTGTTCTCTGCAGGGGGGAGGCTGGGCTGGGGGCAGGCAGGAGGCTCAGGCCCCAGGCCCAGACGGGGCCCTTTCCGGGATGTGAAGAGCTGCCTAAGGAGCCCGCTCTCCCTAGAGAGTTCCCAGGGCTCCTTTCCGGGTAAAGGCCGCGGAAATGACAGCGCCTCCTGCAGCCGGGGCAGCTGGGGCCTGAGCCAGGGCTTGGGGGGTCCCGCAGCCCACAGGGCGAAGGGCTTGACCCGAGAAGGGTGGACTCTGCCGTGAGCTCCCAAAAGAAAAGTCGGTGCTCATTAATCTTTGGCCTTTGGAGGGGTGGGGGGAGGAAGGAGAGAGAGGGAAGGAGGGAAAGAGGGAGAGAGAGAGGGAATGAGGGAGAGAATAGAGGGAATGAGAGGAGAGAGGGAGGGAGAGAGAGAAGGGAGAAAGAGAAGGAAGAGAGGGAGGGAGAAGGAGGGAGAGAGAGCAAGAAAGAGGGAACGAGAGAGAGAGAGAGAGAGAGAGAGAGAGAGAGAGAGAGAGAGAGAGAGAGAGAAAGAGAAGGGAGAGAGGGAGGGAGAGAGCCCGGGCTGGGCTGGAGTGTCCTTGGCAGCCTTGAAACCTCAGCTCTGGGGCACATGGTGTCTCGCACCCGCCCCCCAGTCTGCCTGCCTGACTCCACATGCCCTGGAGGGCCAGTGGGGTTTCACAGCCTGGAGAGAAAGTGTCCCGGGCGGGAGGGTTCCTGCTTCCGTGTGTCCCCTACGGAGAGCCCAACGCTAAGGGCCCGAGAGGTCTGGGGGCCCAGGGGTCTGGGGACAGACAGCGGCAGGAGTCCTGGGGAGGACTCGGCGCCAGGGGACAGAGCCGCCCCCCCCCCCGCCCCCGCAGGGCAACGTGCCCAGGGTCCTCATTCTCTGCAGATGAGGCCAGGGCTTTGGCAGGAGCCTGGGGGCCACTGAGGAAGCGAAGGGCCCATTTCTCACCTCAGGGACTCAGCTCAGCTCGCCCCTTTCCTTCTCCTGGAGGGGAGGGGCCAGCGGGATTCCTGGGGTCTGCCAGAATCCCCCAGACTCCAGAAGTCAGATTGTTTGGAGCCAGGTTTGGGGGTTCAGATAGACCCGACTTCACTGCCTCCAGCCTGTGATCTTTGGGGGATTCGCCTTCGTGAGCCTCAGTTTGCCCGTCTGTAAACTGGGGCTGAAGCCCAAACCCACCTCCCAGGGAGGTACCGAGGCTCTAAGGAGCTGATGCAGGTGGTGCCTGAGATGGGGCCTGGCACGGACCACAATCGAATCCCCCCCAGAGCCCCTTCTCTGCTTGGCAGCACGTGGTCTATTGCACTGTGGGGACAGAGGAGCGGGGAGGAGAGGCTCTGGCATGGCCTGGAATTGTGGGCAGGGGTGGCTGGGCCTGGGGGGCGAGTTCTCGCCCTCTGCGCTGCATTCCAGTGCCCCCCGTGGTCTGACCACAGCACCGCCCCTCTAGGGAATCCCTATTTCTAGAGAACCCTGAGGCACCCCTGCGGACAAGTTCAGCCCCTTGGTGCAGGGGAGAACAGGCAGGATGGGGGTGGGCCGCAGCCCGCCAGCTTAACCCCCAGACTACCCCGGGGGTCAGCAGCAGCCCTGCGTGAGCCGAGACAAAGGCAGCCCAGTGCCCGGCGGGCGCCTCCATCTAAGCTCGCCGGCTCCCAGACCCACGATCATCCAAGCGGCCTGGCCCGTCCCCTGGGGGCGAGCGGCCCGGCCTTGCACCAGGAGACAGATAGCGTCACGCCCCTGGGTCTAATGGAGTCCACGTGGGCCTGCCACGGTTCGTGCAGAGTCTGGTGTCCCCGTGAGGGGCGGGGGGCAGCGCAGGGCCTGCTGGCCATGCCGGGCTTTGATCTCCGGGAGCTGGTGGGAAAGCCGCCCGCTGGCCTTTGAGAGGGTGCCAGGCGGGGCCAGCTGCCGGCGGTGGCTGTGGGTGGAACTAATCATTAGCAAATTGCACTGGCCGAGAACAGGCTTTGCCGAAGTTCTCGTCCCGCCCCCCCCCCCCACCACCGCGCGTGCGTCAAGTCTCCAGTAATGCAGACACGGAGGGTCTCTCTGGGACCCCCCAAAGGTCCCCTTGACACCCCGGACACAGGGGCCAGCCCCGTGACCTCTCTCTGCTCATCCTGGCCGAGGGCACCTGCCCCTTCCTGAGCAGACACCAAGTCACCTTAATGTTGGTGTCCCGAGCAGGCCGAGGGCGAGAAAACCAACAGACAGCTGTGGAGGGCAGGGGGTGGGGGGCTTGGGGGAGGAGCCCGAGGGACCAGGGCGTTGGCGCCCTGGTGGCTCGGCAGGGCGTGAGACCCTCGGAGCAGACGTTTCGCACCAGGGGAGGGAGAAGACAGGCTCCCGGGGCTGAACTCGTGAGCTGGAGCTTCTGATGCCAGCGGCAACGGCGCACCCGCTGGGCAGCCTCAGGCCGCGCCTGGGCCTCTCTGAGGTTCTCATCTGACAGCAGGAACTTGGCTCCCAGCCCTGCCCCCTGGTCAGGATCCAGGGAATGCAGCTAACCCAGAGCGAGGCAGGAGGGCCGTGTTTCAGACGCCCCACGGGGCGCCAAGGTCCGCAGGGCACGGCCGTCCTGGGGGCTAAGCCACCCGGCGAGCCCACGGGGCTGGGGCTGGGGCTGAGCCGCTGAGCCCTTGAGGAGTGATCCCGGGAGACCTTTGCTGGGGTCTACCCAGTGCAGGCCTCTGACCTCTGTGAACGGGCAGGGGGAGGCTGAGATGTTGGGGGGCGTGTCGGGGGCAGCACAGAGACCTCCTATGGGCCAAGCGCTGAGAATAACAAGCTGGAGCCTGGAGACAGAGGGAATCTTCCAGAAACCAGAGGGAGGCAGGGGGACAGGCCTCCAGATTCCGTGAGAAGCAGGCCAGTTGTGAAGGGGAGCGGGGGCGGGGAGCTGGCGGAGGAAGAAAGGGGTGGGGGGAGGACCCAGCTAACTCCTCAGAGACCTGGAAGCCGCTGCTCTGACCCGACCCAGAGGTGGACAAAGTCTGTCACGGACTAAGGCTCAAGATTCCCCCAAAACGTCAGTTCCCCCTAGCTGGAAGGGATTTTTCTTTCCTTTCCTTTCTTTTTTTTTCCCTTCTTTTTTTTGGGCCACACCCGGCTGTGCTGAGGGCTGCCTCCTGGCCCTGCGCTCCACTCCGGCATCCCTCCTGGCAGGGATCAGGGCCATCTGGGGTGCTGGGGACAGAATCTGGGCTGGCTGTGTGCGAGGCAAGTATCCTGCCCACTGACCATGGCTCCAAGCCCTGCGTTTCCTCATGCGTTAGGGACAGGAACAGCTTCCTGGGGGCTGGGAGGTCAGGATGACATGAGCCGTGTGGAAGCACCGTCTGGTAGAGACTTGGCTGCCAGTAAGTGGTGGCCACGACTGAAATGACTTGCAAGGGGTCCAGAGAGATAGTGCAGTGTGTAGGGGCCTGCCTTGCATGTGGCCGACCCAAGCTCGAGTCCTGGAACTAGGTACGGTTCCTAGAGCCCTGCTAGGAGTGAGCTCGGAGCACGGAGTAAGCCCCGGGTGGTACAGGACATGAACCGTTCAAACGAAGACAATTTGAAGGTTACTCTTGTTAAAGGTAACACCCATCTCTAGGCCTCTGGTCAGGTAGTTCTGAAATGCCTCTGACTGGCGGAAGGGCTGAGTGGGGGTTAAAGGGCCGGAAGTGCAGTGGTGGATCTCTGCCTTGCACAGGGAAGGCTCTGGGTGCGACCCCCAGCATGAAGACTGGGGGGAGCCTCAAAGGCTTTGCTAGTCTGAAAGGTGCAAAGGGGAGAAGTCGCAGGAAGGGGTGCTGAGTGCTCCTCCCCGAAGGCTCAGGGGACATGCCAAGTGACCTGTTTTTTTGTTTTGTTTTGTTTGGGGGCCACACCTGACCATGTTCAGGGGTTCCTCCTGGCTCTGCACTCAGGAATCACTCCTGGCGGTGCTCGGGGGGCCATGTTGGATGCGGGGGATTGAACCCGGGCTGGCCGCATTACAAGGCAAACACCCTACCCTTACCACTATCGTTCCGGCCCCTGACCTGTTTGGAAAGTTGCCACGACGAGGCACCCAGTGCACAGGCCATACCCACCACCAGGCATGAGACTGCCTTTCCGTCCATCACCGAATGTGGCCACAAGTGTGAGTGCAGGGGGACAACCCCCCCCCAGCACCCCTAGGTGGCTTGCCCGGGTCGAGGTCTGAAGCCGGGCATTTAGGATGGTCCGTTTCTTGCAGGAGGCGGGGCTAGGCCAGCACACCGCCCAGGGCTGCCCTCCTGTCTGCCTTCTCCCAGAACCCTCCAAACTGCCCCCCAGGTCCCTGCATGCAGAGTCAGCCCAGCGCTCACCCTCGACTCGCCCTCTTGGGAGCCCCGAGACCCCGGCCGGCCTCCGTCAGACACGGACACCCAGGTGGGCAGTGGACACCCTCCTGGGCCTGAGGCCCATCTGGACCCCAGCTTTGCCCAGGCCACTGCCCCGTCCGTGTCCCGGCCGGGCAGAGGCTCAAGTCTCTGTTGGCAGCTTCACAAACATGCCCCGGCACCGGGCAGGGTGTGAGCATGTGGCAACGTGGATGCACAGCCAAGGTCCACCCCTGCACGCACGGGGTCACCCCTCGAGCCCCCAGACCCACTTCTTACCTTCCGGCCGTGGTAGCCTTGGACTCCAGGGTCTCCCTGGGGGAAGAGAGAGACCGTTAAGGGCAGACCCAGTGCAGACCCCTCAATGGCCAACCCGCTTGCCTCCAGCACCTCCAACCCCGCCTCCCACTGCCCGCTGTCCCTGCCGCCCTCACAGACTGTCCCACTCTCCAGCTCGGGGGTGGCAGGGAGGACTGGCAGGAACATGGGAGAAAAAGCATGGGTTTGGGTTCCAGACACGACCCGTCGAGGGTCCCGTGAGACCTTCCCTCTCGGGAGCTCCCCATGCATGCGGTGTCCAGGCAGGACTGGTGCTTTGCGGCATTTGGTGCCCAGAGCCTGGGCGGCAGGGGTGGGAGGCGTCCCCGGCTTCTGCAGGAAAGTCCCTGTGACCTGCACGTCCCATATGGTCTCCCAAGAGCCAGGGCCCCTCCCAGTTTCAGCTCTTGTAGGGGTGCTGTTGACAGGGGCCTGGCTGCCCCTGGTGTTTCGGACAGAGCTGCCTCCCCTCCCCGACGTGCCCAGAAACAGACGGTTCTTAGGGAACCCCGAACATTTCTAAGAGGACGGAGCACTGGGAAGAGAGCCTGCAGGAAGCATTTCACCGTCTGTCCTTTCTCAGTGATTCGGTGGCAGCCTCCCCGCAGCCCCGCCTCACCCAGAAGGACCCTCACCTTGGGTCCAGGAGGTCCAGGTAAGCCCTGCAGAAGAGAGAAAAAGGCGTGTGACCCCCGAGCTCCCAGGCGGGCGGTCGAGGTTGTCATGTCTATGGTGGCGGTTGGCTGGCCCCCGGGGGCCCTGGCGAACACTGTGTGCTGGAGAGGAGCCGCTCCAGGTTCCTAAACGGGCCTCTGAGGCCGGCTGAGGGCATGTGGGGACAGCCGGTTCTCTCCCTCTCCACGGGCCTGTGGGCACTGTGGGCACCCCCTGGGCCTGCCCACTGGAAAATAAGTCAGTGGCAGCGTGAGGAAGGGACAGTGTGGCTTGGTCCAGTGGGCCACCACCACCTGCTAATTGGGGCTCTCCCTGCATAAAACCAGCCTTGCCCGGGGCCCGGGCAGCCGCAGCCACTGTGGGGGCGGTGTGGGTACCCGGGGCGGGAGGAGGAGCCACCCCAGCCGGGCCGGAGACCAGGGCAGGGACTGGGTCTGTTTCCGTCAAACCCAGGCCCCTGGGCGCTCCCCTTCTACAAGATCCCAGAGAAAACCACCTGGCGGGGGTCGGCACTGAGGGTCTCGAGCCCAGTTTTGGAGGGACGGTTTTCCACTTGTTTGGTTCAATTTCCCCCAACTCTCTTCCTTCTGGGGTTTCCATTGTGTCATCTAGAAACCTCCGGCCGGGAGATGAATCCCAGTCATGGGGGTGAGGAGAAGTCACAGATTCAGTCACAGACACAGTCACAGACACAGTGTAGGGGGGCTTACAGAAGCAGGATTTTAAACCGACGTGCTCCCTCTCAGCAAGGGAGGGGGGCCCTGCCCTGTGACCCTCCGTCTGCCAGCACCGACGTCACAAACACGGCACCTCAGCCTTGGGGTCTGGGCAACCGAGGGTCCCAGGCAGAAAGCCTGGTGCTGTGAATGGGGGCAGCTTCTCGGGGCCACGGGGAAGGATGGCCCTGGCCAGGGGACGGCCCTCCTGGGACCCTCATCAGGTGTCAGAATGAGCCATGAGCACAAGCAACCCTGCCTGGGCAACTATCTGTCATCCAAGGGAGCTCAGTCGCGTCCTTGGAAGTGGGTCCAGCAGCGGGAAACAGATGATGGGGGAAGGCCTCCCTGTTGCCTGGCTGGTTGGTCGGTTGGTTGGTTGGTTGGTTGGATTTCTTGGCTTGTGGGTCACAGCCGGCAGCGCTCAGGGGCCAAGGCTGGCAGGTCTCTGTATGTGGTGCTCGGGTCGGAATCGGGATTGCAGCCACAGCCACATGCTAGGCAAGACCCTTGAAAGACCCAGGGCAAGACCCTGTCTCTAGAAAGCGACAGTCTCTTTGTTTGTCTGGGGGCCACACCCAGCAGTGCTCAGGGCTCGCTCCTGGCTCTGTGCTCGGGGTTGCCTCCTGGTGGTGCTCGGGGGACCGTAAGTAGGGTCCAAGTAGGCTTGGCCGTAGCTGCGTGCAAGACAAGAGCCTTAGGCCCTGTCCCACCTCCCTGGCCCCCCAAACCTTCTTAAACAGGCTTTGTCCTTTCCTGCTGCCCCCGAGAATGCCCGGCCTGAGTCTTAGCTCTGGGTGCCGCGGCGTCTTCTCCGCGAAGACCAGAGCCTGCAAGAGACTCCCAGGCATTTCCACACTAATTTGGATACACTGTCTTGGGCTTGAAATGAGTGACTTGGCTTGGGGCTGCTGGGCTTGCCTGTCACCTGGGTGTGACAGGAGCCTGGGTCCTCCCTGCAGTGTTTGGTTCCCGCCATCTGAGGCTGCATGCCCCCCACCCCCACCCCAGAGTACCGGCAAAGGTGCTTTATTTCGGGGTGCCTTGCTATGTCCGCTGCCTTGCTCTCTCCTTCAGAACTGGCTGCCCCTAAGACTGGTTTCCTCGCGCCCAGAGGGAAGGGCAGAGCCTCCGAGGGAAGCGGGGGCCCTGCCTCTGGCCTGCTGGGAACGGCTGCCGGCAATGCGTTCTTCCCTGGATGGCAAGATCCTGAAGCTGGGGGTGTAACTGCAGAACCCCGGGGGCGACCGGTGAGCATGAGCGGGTGGACCTTCCTCACATCTAACGCCAGGGCGTTCTGCTGTTTAGCAGAAACTCGGGTTTCTTGGGGCTCGTGGGAGGCCCGGAGGGAGGCCTTCAAGGAACTCCTGAGATGAGTGTGCAGAGAGGAGGGGGTACTTACAGGTGGTCCCATGGGGCCTGGCAGTCCTGGGGGCCCCAGGAGGCCGCTTGGTCCAGGGGGCCCCGGCGGGCCTGGGGGGCCTTGGCTGCCTGTCTGGCCCTGCTCGCCCTGAGGTCCAAGGAGACGAGTGTTAGGGAGGGTCCAGAGGATCGGGTGCCCGCCCCTCCCCCCAGCCATGCACCCGGGGGCTCTGGTGGGCAGGCGGTGCACGTGGTGAGGCTCCATGCGGGGTTGGTGGCGAGGCAGTGCCCAGGGGCAGAGGCAGGGGAGGGGGAGTGGAGCCCACTCAGGACACGGGCGTGGAATTACGTGAGATGGCCCAGAGAATCCTGACCCCAGGCCTGCTCCCTGCGCCCACCCTCCCCCACTCCCGTCCCCCATGCCTCCCCTGCCCTCTCGGACTGGGAACAGGAGCTCCCGGGAGGCGGCATCTCAGGGTGAGCGCGAGCCTGTCAGAGCCCACCCAATCCTGCTGGGCCCCGCGCAGGGCTGCAGGGTCCTGTGTCAACTGGGTGGAGGCTTCTGACGGGAAAGCCACACACCGGAGCCCTGGTGTGGCCACTCCCCCTGGGCTCCTCGCTGTCCCCTGCTTCTGTGGGACCCGACCCTTGCCACTGGGAACAGGCGAGCCTGGAGGCCCCGGCGCAGGTCTGGGCACTGCCAAGCGCGCTGTGCCCTGGCGGGTGACCTCAGATCTCCCAGGAGAGCTGCTGAGGGCCCAGCCTTCGCCTCCCCGGGCCCCTGCCCAGGATAGACAGAGGGCCAGGAGGGAGGAGTGGCCTCAGGGTCCTTGGGAGGAGGCCAGAGCCTGTCCCATGGGGCCCTTCTATGACTTTCTCCTGGGCCACTGGTCCTGAGGAGGTGCCTCAGACTGGGGCACAGGGCACCAGGCCAGCAGAAGCTCAGGCCAGCCTCCCCTCACAGTGCTCCAGGCTGGCCTCCCCCTCACAGTGCTCCAGGCTGGCCTCCTTTCAGAGTGCTCCAGGTTGCTTCCCCTTAGAGTGCTCCAGGCTGGACTCCCCCCACAGTGCTCCAGGCTGGCCTCCCTTTAGAGTGCTCCAGGCTGCCTCCTCTCAGAGTGCTCCAGGCCGGCCTCCCTCTCACAGTGCTCCAGGCTGGCCTCCCTCTTACAGTGCTCTAGGCCGGCCCTCACCCCTCAGAGTGCTCTGGGCTGACCTCCTTCCTGAGAATGCTCTGGGCTGGCCTCCCCTCACAGTGCTCTCTGGCTCCCGTGCGGAAAGGGAGTGGGCAGTCCCCTGACAACTGCGCCAAGGGAGAGGCAGGCGTCAGGTGTGTCCAGCCCCAGGATGCCCACTGGGGATTTTAGCAGCCCCTGCTGAAGCCTTCCCCTCGCAGGGGCCTCCATGGGGAAGGTCCCCGGGGCTTGGTCCTGTCCGCTCTCAGAGGCAGTTGAGGACTCAGGCAGGGGCACAGACACGGGAACGGGCCTCCAGTCCAGGAGAGAGGACTGAGGCTGACCAGCGGGGCTCCCTGCCCCGTCCCCGGACGCTCCGCCGCCAAGTCAGGTGTGGACTCCATCCCGTTTGTTCCAGTCTGGCCCCAGCCAGTGCCTGGGAAGCATCCCGGGAACACAACGGGTGCCGAGCGTCTCGCAGGGCTTGTAAGATCCACGTAGTGATTGACAGGGGGTGGCCAGGCCTTTCCAGGCTTGTGCTGGCTGGCCGCTGGTCACTCTGTCAGGTGGCTGGGAGGGTGGCATTCACAGGCAGACACGGGTGTGGAATTACGTGAGAGGGCCCAGAGAATCCTGGGACAAGCGGACGCAGCGCGGGCTGCCCCTTTCCATCCTCTTTAATGGGGGAAGGTGGGGTTTGAGCCACGCCTGGCGGTGCTCAGGGGTCACTCCTGGTGGCATTAGAGGGGCTGTATGTGGTCCCGGGATCCAACCCAAGTCAGACACATGCAAGGCGAACGTCCAACCCACTGTACGCTCTCTCCGGCCCCCAACTCTGCCCTTTGCTGTTTAGGGGCCGCTGGACACACATTCATTGCCCAAGCCTCCATTTAGAAACGCTGAAGTCGGCAGCCTTCCCAGCAGGGAGGTGATGCCACTTGCCTCAGGCCCCCAGTCGGCTAGCAGGAGCCCTGGCGCTCAGCTGCTGGGCCAGCTGTGTGCTGAGTCGACCCAGTCCCCTGCCTGGCCGCCTCGGCTGAAGTCAGGACTCACATGCCCAGGCCTGTCTCGGCACCCGAGGGGGCTGTCGGCAGGGGCGATTGGGGGGTGGGTGGGTCTCGGGGCACCCATCACGGGGGGCTCCGTTTGCTTTTGTCTAAATTCACTGAGCTGTCGGGGACTGGAGCGATAGCACAGCGGGTAGGGCGTTTGCCTTGCACGCGGCCGACCCGGGTTCGATTCCCAGCATCCCATAGGGTCCCCCGAGCACCGCCAGGAGTAATTCCTGAGTGCATGAATCAGGAGTAGCCCCTGTGTATCGCCGGGTGTGACCCAAAAAGAAAAATAAATAAATAAATAAATAAATAAATAAATAAATTCACTGAGCTGGAGTAGAGCGGAGGTCTGGCAGGGCCCAGAGACAGGCTGGTCCCCCTCGGGGGACCCCCGGGGTTTGTGCAGGGGAGGGGGTCTACCTGGAAGGTGCGCCTCTTAATGACCGGGGGCGGAGCCAGGCGCACGGAGTTGAGAAGAGGCAGCAGCTGAGGAGGGAGATTGAGGTGGAAGGCCAAAGGGCAGAGGTCAAAGATCACAGGTGTGCAGCAGGAGGCCGAAAGTCCCCAGGAAGGCAGGTGGCAGAGAAGAGGAGAGAAGAGAGAGATTAGCAAGCTGGAGGCAGAGGAGGGCGGCAGGGAGCGCCCGCCGCTGGGTGGAAGAGCCTCCTAGGGAAGGAGGAACCGAGGCTGGCCAGCAGTGTCCCCTCCGCTGACCGAGTGTGGCCCCCTGGCTGCCCAGGCCTTCCCCCACGTGGCCCTAGCGCTGCCCCACCAGCCACCCTTCCCCGCCCCTCCCAGTGGGCCGGAGCCTGGGCAGCAGCTAAATTGGTACTTGAGGCCGGGCCGGTGTGCGGCAACCCCTGGCTTCTTTGGGGGGCTTGAAGAGAAAGCCCGTGTCAGCGAATCTGGGCAGCTGGGAAAGGGCAGTGCCAAGCTGGGCTCCGGCCCCCGAGCCGGCCGGGGTGTGGTTGGTGTGGGCACCGGCTAAATGCTACCCGGGTCTCGCCCTGGGGCCAGAGGACCGGGGAAGCAGACAGCGGGGGAAGATATCCCAGCATATGCAACCACTTTCTCGGGGGGCGGTGGGGGGGTGGGGGGGGGGGTGGCGGGGAAGGGAGCAATTTGCAATCTCCAAATTATCGAACGTCATTTTCTCTTCTGGAAAGTCCTGCTGTTCCCAGCCCTGCTGCCCACTGGGCCCGCGCTCCCCGTGGTGACAGGAAGTGGCCCCGTGATGAGGATCACGTTGGCGCCAGCCCAACCTCCTGTTTCTGAAAAAAACACCCCAAACCCTCTGGAATGTGTTCAGGCCCCGGGATGCTCTTGAAGGCCTGGGGTGTGGGGGGGCAGCTGTGGGGGGCAGGGAGTGAGGCTTGGGCAGTGCTGGGCAGCTGTGTGCGGGCGGCCTCTGAGCAGGGCGGAGCCCGGGAACCTCCCGGGACCCACAAACCTTCACGGTCACTATCTGGCTGGCCCGCAGAGCTGCCAGTGAGCCGCTCCAGTTCGGGGGTTCCTGGTGCGGGGGGACGAAGGAGTTGGTGAAGACATAAAAGATGGGGAGGGGGGCGGTGAGCGGTGAGGGGGCTGCACTCGCTCCCGGGGTCCTGGGCCTCAACCCCGCCCCCTAGCTCCCTGCCGGTTCCCTGGGGGGTGGGGGGGGTTCGCTGCAGGCTGCCTAGCCCAGCAGCAGCTCGTGACCCTCCTGCCTGCAAGGGGCCCCGCATGAAGCCAGGCCCCACGCCAGATCCCGCTGCTCCTCCCCTTCCCCCAACCTCACCCCCCACCCCCGCCCCACAACTCATCAAGTCTGCCCTCACCCACTGTGCTCCACCACACCTGTCCCCCCCTCCCCCGAGGTGCTTCTGGAACCTTCTGTCCCCACCCTCCCCCTCTTTTTTCACGGGGCTGGGGTTTAGGGAGCCTGCCCGTCCACCTCCCCCCCGACACATTCTCTCAGGACGGCTGACACACGGCCGAAGCGTGCGCAGTTGTGTTGTCTTTGGTGCGGGTGACATAACAATCCTGTGAGCCCATCATTGCGAATAAACACAGCTGACCTTCTATTATTGTGTCAGGATCAGGCCGGCCGGAACTCGCGGGCCTCTGCGTCCCCAGAGCACATGCCACTGGCGGCCGCCTCTGCTCGGGATGCCACAGCCACCCGCTGCGTCCATGTTCCAAGGCCACTCAGCCTCCCTGGGGCCCGGGGACTCAGGGCTCAGCATGGACAGGGCCCGCCCGAGTTCACTTTGCACCGGAGAGGGTGGGTTTTTGGGTCAGGCCGGGAGTGCTCAGAGCTTCCTCCTGGCAGTGCTCAGGGATCACTTGTGCAGGGATCCAGCCTGGGTCCGGCTGCATACAAGGCACGCGCCTTGCTCCTGAGTGATCTCTCGGGCCCTGTTCTGAGATTTTGTTTTGCTTTGTTTTGTTTTCTGTTTCTTCCTCTTCTCTCTCTCTCTCTCTCTCTCTCTCTCTCTCTCTCTCTCTCCGGGGGGGAAGGCACATTTGGCTCAGGACGGACTCCTGGCTCTGTGCTCTGGGATTACTCATGCTCAGGGGACCATTAGGCTGTGCCCATGTGCACAGGAAGTGTTACCCCACTCTGTGTCCCTGCAGCCTAGACCCCAATCTTTGACTGGCTTGACCCGTGTTGGGTGGCCTCTGTCACCAGGCCACCTCAGTCTCAACCTGACCCCCTGGACGTCCACCAAGTGGGTCCATGTCCACTGTCCATGGTCCACTGAGTGGACATGCTTCTGGGCACAATGAGGGTGATGGGGGTCGCCGCCTGGATGTCCTTCCTCCTGCACTGGACCTGAGAGGCGTTCCCTGGCTACAGCCGTGAGCCCGCTATGGGGGCAACAGGGTCACTCCGCCCTCCTGGCCTGGAAGGGACCCTGGGCTGGTCTAAGGGGCTTCCGGGCTCAGCTTCCTGGGCTCAGACCAAGGCACAGGGAGGAGCTGGGGCTGTGGGCAACCGTCCAGGCCCGGGTTCCTCACCCTGCCCCAGGCCTTTCCTCTGCTGAAAGAGGCTGATGGCAGCAGACTCGATGCTTCAGTGCAGACAGTCAGATGGCCACGTCCCCCCACCCAGGGCTGGGTCTCCTGGGCCCGTGAATAGCCCTGAGGTCCCCCCGGATATGGCTGGTGGGCCACCAGACATGCACACAGAGTCCCCCCGCCCAAGCTGGGAGGGGTCAGGCCCCGACTCTGCAAAGCCGCATGGCCTCACCAAAGGAGAAGGGCACATGTGGCCGAGACTCAGGGCCACACGACACACAGAAGGTTCCAGAAACACACTGGGTGCTCCGGCTGGGCAGGCGTGGAGGCATGGCCACATCAGGCCCCCCCCCCCAAGCACACTCACACCCTGGGGGCCCTCGCACCCACGGTGCCCACCCACAACTGACCGCCGAGCAGAGGGGCTCTATGTCCCTGTCCCGAGCTCTGCATGTAGGGGCTGGGGTCCTGGAGGGGTGAGGCTGAGTTGGGGGCTGTGTGTGCGCTGGGGGCGCCAGGCTAGGGGTTCACTTACCCGGTGCGGGTACTCTCCACACTGGCCCTAGGGGGAGGGAAGGAGAGCAGATGGTTAGTCACTTGTGGGGGGCTGTCCCTGTGACCACCTCAGACGTGTGGGTGAAACACACGGATACAGACACAGACACACGTGCACACACGCACACACACACATACATGCACACACAGACACAGATGCACACACACATGTGTGCACACACAGAAACACAGACACACAAGTGCACACACAAAGAGAAACACACACACATGCACACACAGACACACGCACAGATGCACGCACACACACAGCCATAGACACACAGATACATACATGCACGCTCACACATACTCTCTCTCACACACACACACACACACACACGCGCGCGCGCGCGCGTGCATCGTGTGCGCGAACTTTGAGGCCAGGAACGAAATGCCTCTCTCCAGTGCCCCGCAGCCTCAGTGCCCCGTCATCCCGTCCCCCTCAGGACACAAGGACTGTTTCCAGGAGGCATCTCGCTCCCAGCAGGCCGCCTGGTGAGGAGCAGACAGCAGCTCGGTGTCCCTCAGGGCCACTCAGGGGTGGATAAAGCAGGTGGCCGGGCTGGGGGCCAGGCCACTGTGGAGGTGGGGAGCCCCCAGGGCCCTTCCCCCCAGGGCTGCTGCCCTGACCATCACGGTCCCCCCGCAGAGTCCCCTCAGACTTACCTTTTCTCCTTTCTGTCCCTGAGGGCCCTGAGGAGAGACGGAGAGAGGGGTTAGGAAGCGAGTGACCCCAGGGGTGCTGCCCAGGGCAGGCCCTGTGGGGAGGGGCAGAGAAGGGCTGACCTGGGGGGACTTCTGGGGACCCTCCCACATGCCCGCATGAGAGCACACCTGGGACCCTGACCAGGTGCAGCCCCTCCCACCGGTCAGGGGCCCTGCGGAGCAGGACTAAGTACTGAGGGTGTGCCTTGCTCCTGGGGGTCCTCACACCCAGCTCTCACGCAGCACGGCCGGAGGAGGGAGGAAGCTTCCAGAAGAGACTGGTCTGTTCTGTCTCCTGCCCTCCGCAACCTCAGCCTGGAACCCAGAGCCTGCAGGATGGCTGAGGGGTCAGTGGGCCAGGGACCAGGCAGCAGTCTTGGGGGGACTTTGGGGAGAGAGGCCAGCACTTGGCAGCCGACGCCGTCTCCGGAGCCCCCAGGAGGAATATCAGGGGTCTCAGGGTTCCTTCCTGCCTTGTCCTGTTTCCAGACCCGTGGAAGGTGCCGGGTTCGAGGGGGACCTTTGTCTCTGGGGAACGGGCAGCACGCAGCTGGCTCTCTGCAGAGCCAGAGCTGAGGAGGTGTGAAGGACACCCCGCGGCTGGACGGGCGGGGGGGGGGGCAGCCAGCTCGGGGCACTTCCAGGGGACGCCGAGTTTGCAGCCGCAGCCGGGGAGGATGCACACGTCAGCCTCACCTCCCGAGGAGGTGACAGAGACGAGACCCCGCAGCTCAGGAGCGCTGGCCCAGCTGCTTCCCCTCGGCCGCACCCTGAGAGCAGGGCCTCAGGGTGGCGGGGCTCCCGGAATGGACTAGAACCTCAGCCCGGGTCAGACTCTTGGCCGGCGGGTCTTCGGCTCTGCAGGGACGGCCCATCTGGGGGTTGGCGGAGAGTCTGTCTCGGCCCCCGCGGGCCACAGGACGAGCGTCCATGCTGAGAAATTCTCTGGGCATGCGTGGGAGTGGACAGTGGCTTTGGGACAGTCCGTGTGCTCCTTGCCACAGCCCCCCGCCCCCCGTTCATGTGTCTATCCAGTGTTCAGAGCCAGGCACCGTGGGACACGCGGCATCCAGTGGAGGCCGGACTGCGGGGGACAGAGAACGAGTGAGGGCGTGTGGGGGGTGGAGGTCAGAGAACCCAGCTGTGGCCCGTGGACCCTTCCGGACCCCAGAGGCTGGCCCGAGAAGGTTTCATTTCCATTCATAGCCCACGTTAATGAGGACCTGGGGTGGGGTGAGTGTGGGGATCCTTGGAATTCCAAGTTCCCCCGACGTGGTTCAAGGCCCACCGAGTCAAGGTGGTGCTGGCTGTCACAGAGGCTGCTGCCCCTTTAAGACAGTCCAGGGCAGGTGTAATCTGGGTGCTGGGTGCCATTTGGTGGGACTCAGAGCCAGGGGTGGGTGGGGGACAGCCCTGTGAGGGAGTGGGGGGGTAAGATGCCAGCTCAGTGGGGGGCTCTCCTTCCCGGCACTGGGGCCCCTCACCCGCCCACCTCCCTCCAGTCTCTCGGGGTGACTGTGGGGTGCTGGGCCGAGCGAGGGGACCCTTTTTTGACACCCGAGAGAGCAAGAGCCAGGGCTGACATCTGCCTCGGCTCTCCTCCCTCAGTGGTGGGCTCTGGCCCCCAGCTCCAGCCGAGCCCCCAAGTGGGGAAAGGCCCCCTGCCTTCGGAGCAGGACAGACAGAACCAGGTAGGACGGAGAGCCAAGGGCTCTTGGCACCCAACGGAGGCTGGGCCAGAGGGCCAGGACGCGCCCTCCCAGGGCGGGTGAGAGCACAGGAGCGGGGGCAGTCTCAGCGCAAGCCCCCCACTCCTAACACCAACAATCTGGCAGGGAACTGGCCGGGACCCTGCCATGGGTGGAAGGGTGTGTCTGCGAGACGGGAGAGAGCGGGGTTGGGGTGGGGGAGGAGATAAGAGTCACTGAATGATCTTTGCAGGAAAGGAGAGGCTGGAGGAGGGATGGGGGGCACCGGGTGCTTCCCCAGTGGATGCCGCCCTGGCAGACCTCCTCGTGGCGTGCTGGTGGCTTCATGTCCCCAGGGTGTGTGCCGAGGGGGAGGGTGTGCCACACGGCACGTGAGGCTGTCTGCACCTCCCTCTGTCCTGCTGGACCATCTCTGTGTCCACCCCTCCTCCCTGCGTGGGGTGAGGGTGAGCCAGGCTCGTCCCCAGCTGGGTCAGCCGTGGGGGCAGCCACCGCTTCTGTCCCTGAGCCCCCATGCTGGGCAGCTCCCGGTCCTCCCCTGGGATGCACCCACCCGCCCGGGGATGGGGAAGTCAGATCTTACCATCTCTCCTTTGGGTCCGGAGTAACCCTGCAAGAAGGGCATGAGCCACGTCCACCTTTGGCCATCCCGATCCCGTCCCAGCCCAGCCACGTGTGGTCCCCACATCCCTGAAGGCTTCACTGGCACATTTCTTTGGGGGCGGGCAGGGAAATCACATCCAGCAGTGCTCGGGACCCACTCCTGGCTCTGTGTTCAAGTCACCAGATGGGATGCCGGGGACCAAACCTGGGTTGGCCGTGTGCTTGGCAAACTCCCTCCCCGCTCTGCTATGGTGCCAGTCTCTGCTCTTGCCCATCTCTTTCCTTTGTCCTCGCTCACTCTCTACCCGCTCAGGGAAGACTGAGTGATGGGGTGGGGCACAGGGTCTCTGCCCTCACAGGTGGGGGCACCTCTGAGGGCATCGGAGGGGCCCCCAGCTCACTCCTTCCTAAGCGTGGAGGAGAATCCTCCTCTGCCCCTTGAGCCTGAAGCCAAGCCAGAGGGTTGGAATGCAGAGACAGGCACCAGGCTGGGGAGGGGGCCCTCGGCGTCCGGGCCGGGGATATGTGAGTGTCAGGCCAGACCCAGGAGGGTCCTGGTGGAGTTGGGGGCAGGGCAAGGGCAGCTGGATGTGCTCCCCTCCGCTCCTCACCGGTGCTGCCTCCCCACTGAACTGCCCCCGTCTCCCCGAACCAAGTTCCCAAATGTTTGAGGCCCCAGGATCCCTGCTCAGGGGCTGCGCACTGGGGGAGTCCCCCATCCCACCCCGGCATGGCCCTGCCTGTGTGTCAGTCACGGGCATTCTCTGGGGAGCCAGAGTTCCAATGCACCAGACGCTCATGCAAAGACAGAGGCTGGGGGGCTTTGAGGAAGAGGGGTAGCCCCCCCATACACGGGTGCACTCACCGGCCTGCCATCCAGTCCAATAGGGCCCTGAAAGCAGAAGCAGACGGATATCAGCAGGGACAGCCCCGGGCCCCACCCAAGGGGCTACATCCAATATGCTAGGGCTCAGGCCTACTGACCACTTACTGGCCACGTGACCCTGGATAGCCCAGGCCTCAGTTTCCCTCTTAACGGGGCATGAGAACAGCAGGCCTTCCCGGGTCCTAGGGGGAGGGAAGGAGATGGCTCGAGGGAGACCCCCGTGGACAGCAATGGCCGTCGCGACTCAAGCCCCTGTGGGTCCCCAGTGGGGAGGGGGCGGCAGGTTCCCAGGCAGCCAGGGGCTGCCCAGCACTGAGGGCTGCAGAAATGGGGGCAGATTCCCTCCCCTCCTCTCTGAGCCCCTCTTAGGGCAGGAGCCTCTGTTCGGCCTGAAACCAAACGGACGGGGCGGCCCACATACCAGTGTCCTGCGGGCTCCCCTGCCCTCCCGAGCTGGCCCTGATTTCTGTCTGGGGCCCTGTCCCCCCGAGTGTCCGGCTTTGTTCCTCCACGTCCCTCCTGGGAAGGATGCAGGAGCAGCTGCCGAGGGCCGGCTAGGCTAGCCCAGCGGCCACGGGGAAGTGGCTCTCCCACTCACCGGGAATCCGGGGAAGCCTCGGGTGCCTGGCTGGCCCTGGAATGAGAGAGAGGAGGGTGACGAGGAGGAACAGGAGCAGCTCCCAAGTCCCCGCCCGGCTCCCCTGGGCACCCCTCACTCAGCCCGGTGAGCAGGCTGGGAGGGTAGAGAAAGGCACGGAATGTTCTAGGTCTCCAGGCTCTGAGGGTGGGGCCGGGCAAGAGACGGCCAGTGTCCGTGGGTCTTCCAGAGAGTTCCCACAGCTTCAGGAGCTCTGCACTTGAGCTTACGTGTGAGCAAGAGCTGGGGAGTGTGGACAGTGTGGAAGATGGGGACAGCGGGGGTGGCGGGGACGGGGACGGGGGGCTCGGCCCTCCCACCCACTGTCCTCTCTGGCTACACAATCTCAGCTCAGGGCCACTTATCCGGAGATGGTGTGGAGCTCAGCGACTTGCAGGACTCTGACCTTCAGCAAGCATTTAGGGCCACTTGCTTCACATTCCCCTGCCCTGGCTAGCAGGAGGGTCCCCAGCGCCCCCCACCCCCATCTTTGGGGACGGCGTGGCAGTTCCTGCTGCTTCCCGTGGTGACTCAGGCCGCCGCACAGATGGGTCTCCAGGTGGGCGACCGGGAGGAGGGTCACTGGCCACAGCTCCTGGTTTGTGGTCACGTTTCATGACAAGAGACTCAAAGCCACTCAGGGTTGTGTACCCAGGCAGGAAGAACTAAAAAATAGGACTGTCACCTCCTTCCTTCCCGCCAGCTGGGGTCTGTCCCCGGGGCCTATTTCAAGGTCTGCTGGAGCCTTCCTGGCGACACCTTTGCCACCTCATTTTCTTTCTTTCTTTCTTTCTTTCTTTCTTTCTTTCTTTCTTTCTTTCTTTTTTTTGCTTTTTGGGTCCCACCCGGCGATGCTCAGGGGTTCCTCCTGGCTCTGCACTCAGGAATCACTCCTGGCGGTGCCTGGGGGACCCTATGGGGCGCCGGCTCATTTTCCACCTGCACGATGTTTGGGCACCGGGCTCCCCCCTTCTCCTGGGGTCCCCATGTTGTGACATGCCTGGCAGAGTCACCCCCCTCACGCAGAGAGGTGCAGTCCCTCCCCGAGCCTTGGGCTGGCCGAGACCACGCGAGTCCCTTCCCTACGCCCCAGACTCCTCATTTGTAGAACAGGGACACGAGGATGCCCAGAGAAGCCACAGAATCACAGGCAGGCCGTAAAGTCTCCTGAAACCGTGGCCGCCATCGGCCACGTAGACTGGCTTGCACTGAGCCATGCACATGGAACAGAGCAGGGGGGCTTGTGAGCCCACCCAGCTCAGGAGGCGTGTGCTCGCCAAGCCCCGGCTGCAGAGCCAGGTCCGGGCCAGAGGCACGTCCCTGCAGCCGCCAGCTGTGACCTGGCCACCTTGCTGGAACGCGTGGGTCCTCTCTGAAGCTGCGGGTGTGAGGCCAGGGAGACGCTCAGGCGAGCGGCTGGGAGGGCAGATGGGCATGGTGGTGGGGCAGGGACTCAGCTGGACGGAGCCGCAGGACGGAGAGATGCCACAGAGATCAGAAGGGCCTCCGCCCTGCTCCTCTCGAGGGGGGGTTATGCCAAGAACAGAGCTAAGGAGAAAACCCGGAAACCGTGCAGGGTAACCCCTGAGACCTCCGAGTGTAAACTTTCAGCTCGGCCGGCACGAGAGGCCCGAGGGAAAGGTCGCAGCGGAGGTTTCCAAGAAACAGCTCCCTAACCCCACTCCCGAGATTGTTTACACGGGAGGGATAATCACACGGTTTGCTAATGACAGAGCCGGCCCTGGTCAGGGGCATGCATCTCTGGCCAGAACCACACGCAGGGGCTAACCGAGGCTTTTCTGGGGATGTTGGGAAGAATGTTGTCATAGACCAAGTGGAAATTGGTACTTCACTTCCTCGAGAGGAGGGGCTGGGATGGTCCGAGTCCACATCTGCGGGGCGAGAGGCTGCGGTCGGACTTCCCTTCCCGTGTTTACTGGCCTGTCCGATTTATTTGTGAATGGCCTGTTTGTGTTCCTTACTGATCTCTTCAACTGGGCTGTTTGTCTTTTTTCTGATTGATTTGAGTGAAGCTATTAGTCAAGCCTAGGAACCCTCTGGGACTGCTCTGTGCTGCAACTATTCTGTGCATGGTGGCGTTTATTTTTTCTCTTGTTTACAATGCCGTTTCGGCCATATGGAAGCCTGACGTGTACATCCACAGCTTATCAAGTTTTCCTTCTGGCTCTGGGTTTGGGGTCATGTTCCAAAGGGCCTTCTCTGAAGAAAAGTGCCTGTCATAGAGAGGGGGTGCGGGGGGCGGGGGAGGTAGGGCAGAGTGAAACTGGGGACATTGGTGATGGGAAATGTACGCTGGTGAAGGGATGGGTGTTGGAACATTATATGACTGAAACCCAACCAAGAACAAGTGACACGTAACTATCTCCCTGTGATTAAATTTAAAAGTAAATAATTTTGAAAAGCACACTCGAATCTTTTTTTTTTTTTGCTTTTCTTTGGGTCACACCAAGTGACACACAGAGGTTACTCCTGGCTCATGCACTCAGGAATTACTCCTGGCGGTGCTCGGGGGACCAGATGGGATGCCGGGATAGATGCTGGGAATCAAACCCGGGTCGGCCGTGTGCAAGGCAAACACCCTTGGCCGCGTGCAAGGCAAATGCCCTACCCGCTGTGCTATCGTTCCAGCCCCTCAAATCATTTTATCAATAAAACTTTTTAATAGTATGCACTAAATATTCTATGAGAAGCACATTTTGTGTCTGTAGGCCCTCATTTTTAATCTTTCAAAGAAAAAGGGCTTTTCCTAGTCAGAATTATAAAACATGCATGTATACATTTATTCTGGAATATTTCAACTTCATGGTTTATATCAAAGTTTTATTTTATTGGAATGAGGCCTCATAGGTGTTAATCAAGTAGAGACTCAGGTATTTTTTTTTAAATGTTTGCTTTTTTAAATCTTTTTTATTTTTTAAAGGGCAGCTGTCCGAGTTTGATTTCCTGAACCATTTATTTTTCTCTTCCTATTGTGAAATAAAGCCTTTGTCATGGACCAAATTCCCAGATGTCGAATTCCCCGGGTGCCTTCGCTTCGTTTCTGGCCTCTCCATTTCTGCTCTATTTGTTGTTTTAATTGCTTTGTTTGTCTAGTGCATTTTGATATCTAGCAGAGGTCCCTCTTCCACATCCCCCTTACTCTATTTTTCAGAACTTCCCTGACTTCATGCAAGCTCATTTTCCCTGCACGTAAAATGAAATGTTATTGTATTGGACTCTAAGACCAAAAACTGGGATTAGAGCATTTTGTTTATAGATTTATTGGTAGACAGTTCATTGATTGGTGTTATGCCTTGAAATCTGAGAACCAGGGAAATAAGCTTGGCTTGATGCCCTGAAATCACCTCCCTTAACCCCATGGCAAGGTGAAGAGAGTCCTGTGGCTCCTGATTTTGGAAGCAGGTCCTTCTATCTGCTCCTGCCTCCTACCTGCCCTTTGTCTGGTGTAAAGCTACACAGCCAAACTGAAGATTTTAGTGGGGAAGGTTGACCAAAGTCCCCCTTCCCTCTGTCTGCTCCTGCTGGAGGTCCCCTCTCTGATCTGCCCAGATCTAGCCGGGTTTTCTCCTCACTTCCGGTCAGTGCTGTCCTCTCCACGGACTGCCTCTGGGAATGTATCTCCTGGCTAGGGAAGGAGAGAGTGAAGCAGAGAGCACGGCTCGGACAACAGTCACCAATCTCTGTGGTGCAAACACTGCCACCAGGGCTGATTCCCAAATTTCCAGCTACCAACACAATGGCACCTGTTTCGGGCTGTCGGACAGTTCTGTGGAAGCTCCGAACATTCCACATTCAGCGTGCCACACCTCCCACTGCCCGCACCCACCACCCGACAGACACACACCCACTGCCCTCAGTCAGGAATACTGCAGTTTCTCTCTCTCTCTCTCTCTCTCTCCAGTGCCATGTGCCTCATTGCTGAGGGCTACCCTTGACAACTCCCAAATATCTCTGCAGGCCGGAGAGATGGTACAGCAACGAGGGCTCTTGCCTGGCACTTGGTCCACCTAGGTTCGATCTCTATGGTCCCCTGAGCACCACCAGGGAGTGAGGATTAGGAGAAAGCCCTGAGCATCACTGGGTCACTGTCACTGTCCTCCCGTTGTTCATCGATTTGCTCGAGCGGGCCCAGTAACGTCTCCATTTTGAGACTTGTTGTTACTGTGTTTGGCATATTGAATACGCCACAGGTAGCTTGCCAGGCTTTGTCGTGCGGGCGAGATACTCTTGGTAGCTTGCCGGGCTCTCCAAGAGGGGTGGAGGAATCGAACTCGGGTTGGCCATGTTGGCTGCGTGCAAGGCAAATGCCCTACCCACTGTGCTATCGCTTCAGCCCGCATCACTGGGTGTGACTCCAACACAAAACCAAACCCAATCATCTCACTGGTCTCGCCTGCGTGTAGTCAGGCTGAGTGTGCTCCTGTGCGGGGCCAGAGTTTGCCCTCCAGAGCCCATGCACCTCCACGCGTGCCCCGCCCCCCACTCCACGCACGCTCCTCGACGGAACAGCAGCTCCTTCAGGCCTCGCATCCACCCTGGGCCGTGTTCTCCACACTCTCAGGAGAGAGGGCCGATCACAGCATCATGGCACGGGCCTGCATGCAAAGACCGTCCTCGCAGCTCCCTGCCTTGCCCTGGTTTTCTTCCGGAAGGAACGGCCCACTTCTCCCACTGCGTGTCCTGGGCCCCTCCTCATCGCCAGCCCAGTGGGACTGAGCAGAAACAGCCACATAAAGATCTCTCAGCAGATGTGCGGACCAGACACAGACCACCTCCACGTCCAGGGGGCGGGAGGGCCAGACAGCTCCTCCCGGGCCCTGAAGCGACTACGGGGGTGCTCAGGGAATGGACACCCTCCCCTGGAGGTGGGGGACATGCCAGCCTCTGCAGCCCCGGGCACCCCTGATTCAACAGGGCACAACACTCTGTACTCTCCCCTCTGTGTAACGTGATCCGCCCTCGGGGTCCTCCCCCTCGGCATGGACCCTTAGCCAGCTCCAGAGTGGGGGCAGGTGCGTCCTGAGAGCGGCAAGGCTGGTTCTGCCAAATGGCGTTTATTCTGGGATCTTCCTGGAAAGCCGCTCAACTCCTGGCCAATGCTGTTCGCCGAGAATTTGCCCACGAGATCCAAAGCCCTATGCCCAGCTCCGGGAAGAGCCGGAGGCTCCACCAGGAGAACACGGTGGCCCCAGCCCTCTGGGTGGTGGGCACAGACATGCGCCCCCGGCAGAGGAGGCTGGGTTTTGGGAAGCTCCCTGGTGCCATACACAGTCTCTGAGCACCCACAGGGGCACGGGCCTTTCCTTCAGGCAAACAGCCTTGGCACGGTAGAGCTTAGCATGGATGGAAGGGGTGGGGACAGGGACGCTGGTTTTGAGATGACTGCCAGTCGGGCCCTGAGACTCCAGCCCTGACTACGGGGTGACCACATGCCCAGTGTCCTCCGCTAAACGGGTTGGTGGGTGAGTCAGAGAGAACAAGTCCAAGTGGACAAGGTGACCCGTCTTCTCGGGTCTAGGACGCGACAGCTGCGTAGCCTGGGACGCCACCGGTGCTCAGCGAGTCCCCCCAGGACCGCTCCCCAGGCAGGAGGTGGGTCCTGGTTAGGTTTCTGTTGTGTCCAGCGGCAGGGCCTCTCCACATTTAGGGGTGCTGACCGGCTGCCTCTGCCAACGCATCCAGCAGGGGCTGAGCCCCAGGGTGCCCAGCACGGCAAGAGCTGATGGTCAGAGATGGCGCCCAGGGCCGCCTGCATTGGGCATCACTCTCCTGCCCTACCTCCTGGCTCCGGCCCTGCCGCTGGCACCCGGGGACTCTCTCCTTCCTCTGTGGCTTTGTGAGACACCCCTGCCCCCCTGCTGAACTGCACTTTCATCAGGAGCAAGTGACCCCAGGACACTCGTGCCCCTGTGTCCCCATCTGAATGGGGCTCATGGGGGCGGTGGCCAGGGGCGATGGCTCAGCTCTGGCAACGGGGTTCAGCCTGCATGGTGCCGCCAAACTGCTGGTTCACACTTACCAAGCACATGAACCGCCTCTGCCCGACACAGCCCCCTGGGGTGCGAACCTTGGGGCTGGCCTGGGTGACCTGCCAGGATGGGGCCAGGGGGCCAGCCTCAGGGCCACCGTGTCTATGCTGGGCTCAAGCCCCATCTCAGATGCTAAGTGGGGCTCTGCCCGCACCCCTGCTCCTCTGTCCCATGACTCCCCCTTCTTGGGGGGCCTGGGGTGCTCCCACTCGGTTTGCTAGAAGTGGCTGGTGCCGTGTCTTTGAGAAAAGCTGCCCGTGGCCCTCTTTTGCCAGTCACCCACGCTGGGTCCCCTCCAGCTGTCCTGGCCAAGGAGAAGGGTCTCCGTTTCCCGAACCGCCAGCCACGGGCCAGGCCCGGTGCTTCCCCAAGACGGGGACTGGGGGTTGCCGAGACCCCGAGGGGCTGCCAGGTCAGTGACTCTGGGTTCTGGGTACCTGCTCCCGGGGCTTTCCGAAACAAGACTCATTCCCGGGACAGCTGGAGCGCCCACCCCACACCCCTGCACCCCCGGGAAGAGCCGGCTCCTTCCTCCCGTGTAAACAGCGGGCCGCCTCGCAGCTGCTGTGTCGGGGCTGGCTCGGGGTGGGGGGCCCCCGAGAGGCTGTAATTTAGGGACATCTCAGCGGGCCCTAACATCAACATAACATCAACGGCAGCCCGAAGCCCGGCCTAGGGATCACATCACACGGGTGGCGGCCGCCACCCCGCCACCCCGCCCCCAGGCCCTGGGCACTTTGAGGGCCCTCCCCGCCCCCCCACCCCTAGACCCTTTACATGAACTCACCCCCTTCAAGGAGAGCAAAACCACTTACAGGGGGGCCACGCGGGCCGATGATGGACATCCCGGCGTCTCCTGGGGCCCCCTGTGGGAGAGAGGGGGCCAGAGGAGGGGGGACAGGGCAGTAAGGAGAGGAGGAGAGGGAGGGGCTGGCAGGTAGGGAAAGGGAGCAGGGGCACGAGGAAGGCCAGAGGGTGCAGCGGAAGGAGAAGCATTTGCAGAGGTGAGGGGGCCCAGGAGAGGCAGCGGGGGAGAGGGGATGACTGTGAGGGGCCGGAAGCGGGAGGGCAGGGGGAGCCCCGAGGCAGGCGAGGGGGATTCGGGGCAGAGGGGCAGGCGCGTGGCAAGGGGCGTGCGGGAGGGACACTCCGCTCAGTGGTGCCCACCCCCGCCCTGCGTCCCATGACCTCCCACCTGCTCCCACTCGTCACACCCCGTCCCGGAGCCCCCGAGGTCTGTTCTTCCCAGAACGGCCCTGTGCGTGGACGCGGCGGGACACGCCCTGGGTGCCAGGCCAATCATGAGGGACAGTATGTGCCTGGTCCTGGGGCCCGGGAGGGACCCACAGCCTCCGGGGCAGGGGATTCTGGGAGCAACAAGTGCAGGTGGAAGTGTAGGGCGCAGGACTGGGGCAACGGGAGAAGGACCAACGGGCTGCGCTGAGAGTCGGCGGCGAGACTAAGACTGTGCCCAGCCGGGAGGAGACCAGGGTCCCCTCCCCCACCCACAGGGGGCACCAGGGCAGCCCTCTGGCCGAGGGTCCCAGGGCATGAAAACGTCCAGGACCCTGATCTGCTATGCCAGGCGCTGCCTGAGGTCCTCAGGGCACCCAGGGGCCAGGGCTGACCCCCAGGCCTTTGCACCTATTCCGTCACTTTCCTAGAGGCCACTGGGTATGGGCCCCAGAGCACCCTGCTGGGAGAGGCGGCTGTGATCTCTTCTTCCCTCTCTCCTCTTTCTCTCTCCCTCTCCTTCTCTCTATCTTTCTCTCCCCCTCCCTTCCTCATCCCTCTCTCCCGCCCAACCCACCCCTCCCCGGCACAGCAAGGCACGAGCCTCACGGAACATCGGGAACATCCGAGAGAGAGAGAGAGAGAGAGAGAGAGAGAGAGAGAGAGAGAGAGCGAGCCTGAGGGTGCTTTTCGGGGTCACCCGGCCCAAACAGGCCTGGACTCTGGTCCTCACACAGTGGTGGGGTCTTGGGCCCCAGGCAGAGGGGCCTGGTCACAGTCATTCTTTTTGGGGGACCCCGGGCTGGAGTTGGATACAGGAGGGCTTGTCTCCAACCCAGCCTCTTTCTGCTGTGCGATTCTGGGTATGTGAATCTGCCTCTCTGTGCCTCGGTTCCCCCACAGGACAGGAACAGTTGGGCATCCCTGGGCGGCCAGTGTCAGGCCTGGACAATGCTCTGGAGAGGCGGAGTGACGTGCTGAGGGCAGCTGAGAGGACCGTGGGGCTGCTCGTATTACAGAGCTGGGGGTCTCTGTGGGGTCCTCAGCGCAGGCACAGGAGGCCTCCGGTCCTTGCCCACCCCCACTGGAGAACCCAGAGCCGACATCCTAGCCCTGTGACTTGGGGTTCTGGTTCCCAGTGGGCTCCAGCCCTGCAGCCCTGCAGCCCTGAGGGGGTCTGCCAGCCTGGAGCACGGGGGTGTCAGGAGGACGCCAAGCAGCTCTGGGCTTCTGCCTCGGCGGAGGGCGATGCCTTTGGGCGGGAACCAGGCCTGTGCCGCCTCGGCCAGAGACGGCCCCGCTGGGGCAGCTGGGCTGGGACGGCAGCCCAGGAGTCCTGGGACTCGTGTGGAAGCTGTTAGCAAACTGGGTCACGGGAGGCTGGGGGCAGTGCAGGCCAGCGGGGCCGGGAGAGCACCCCAGCGCCCCCGCCCAGATCCATGAGGAGGAGGGAGGCCGGGGCAGGGGCGGGTGCGGGCAGGAGGGACCCTTGTGGACTCACCTTCTCTCCTGGTTGGCCTTTTACTCCCTGGGGCAGCCACAGGCAACGCGGGGTGCAGGGAGCAGAGCGGGGGGCGGCGGGGGGAGAAAAAAGAGAGGATGAGATTGGCACGCACACGGCATCTGCGCCCCGGCACCAGGACCGACCGCAGAAATCACCGTGAAATAGGAAACCAAACAAAACACAGATGCCGGCACAGGGCACGTCCCTCGCCCGGCAGGCAGAGCCGCAGGCAGCTAAGGCCTCCCCTGCCCAGCCTGCAGGGCGCTCCGGGGAGAGAGACGGGCAGGAGGCTCAGACTCCCTGTGTGCGTGCATGTGTGTGCGTGTGTGTGTGTGTGTGTGTGTGTTTGCATGCATGTGCGTGTGTGTGTTTGCATGCACGTGTGTGTGTTTGCATGCATGTGCGTGCGTGTGTGTGTGTGTGTTTGCTTGCACGTGTGTGTGTGTGTGTGTGTGTGTGTACGAAGGCTAGAAAGAGAGCATGTGAGAGGATAGGAGAGGGAGAGACAGAGAGGGACAGAGACCAAGAGAGTGAGAGAGAGTGTGAGAGGACAAGAGAGAGAGCAGGAGAGGACGAGGGAGAGACAGAGAGCAAGAGGGAGAGGAAGAGAGTGAGAGAGACAGGATAAGAGAGGGAGAAAGAGAGATACAGAGAATGGGAGAGAAACTTAAGAGAGGCAGAGTGAGAGACAGAAAGACAGAGAGAGAGAGAGAGAGAGAGAGAGGGAGAGAGAGAGAGAGAAACGGGCAGGCCTTCCCAGGTCAGGAAACCTGCCGAAACCCTGGCTGCAGGGCCTGTGGTGGGCTGGTAGCTGGCGGGTCAGCTGGGCACCAGCTAAGGCCTTGGTGGGGACATGGGAGACCCGGGGCGACAGGACGATGGAGCATGGGTCTGAGAGGAAACTGGGGGTGTTCCCTAAGGGTCCCGATGTCCACAGAAACTAGTGGCTAGAGGGCCCTTCCCCACCTCGTCCAGAGACAGTAGCCACTGGGGACCACAGAAGTGTTTTTGGCCCACTGGCCACCCCAGGCCTTATCAGGTCAGCCTCCCCCTAGGCTGCAAAATGGGCCCCTTGTCACATTCTCGATGTCACAGCAGTAGGAAAGGCCCAAAGGGGAGTGGAAATATTCTCCTGGAGGGAGAGGGGAGCAGACCTGCCATGGCAGGCCAGAACAAGGCACGTGACAGGGCTCGGGACAGAGCCTAGCAACGCCCCAGCCCCAGGCCGGCTGAGTGCCTGGGCAGGCTGGGGGGGGGGGGGGTGTCCCTGATGTGCCCGGGGCAGGACCCAGGGCATCAGGACAGTAAGGGATGGGCCAGGGTGGGTGGGCGCTCCTGTGTGAAAGTGGGCAGAGGGTCTCACGGCAAGGGGCTTGCTCAGGGCTCCTGGCCTTAGGGTTCGACCAACAGCTGCTGTGAGGACCTCAGAGCTCTGGGACAGGGGTCACTTCTCAACTCTGAGAGGTCCTGGCTTCTAGAACTCAGCCCCATGGGCCGCACTCTCCTGAGGACCCCGATGCCACTGCAGAGCAAGCCAAGGTCAGGGCCAAGAGCACAGGTCTGGGGTCGGGCTGCCGCCTGGGTTCAAGTCCCTGGGCAGCCACTTCCTGCCAGAAAAGGACTTCGGGGTAGACCTAATGCCTCAGTTTCCTCACATGAAAAACGGGAGAGTGCTCCGCGCCCACCTCCTGCTGTTCTTAGGGTGACCCACCGGCCGAGTGGGTCAAACTCCTCCATGTCAGCCCCAGCATGAGGCCGGTGCAGTCAGGTGTTCCCTGAGACTCAGATAACTTTGCTCTCTGCAAAAGGCAGCAAACTCACATAAGAACACCAGGGCCAGGGTAGAGCGATAACATAGCCAGGGCATTTGCTGGCCTTGTCCACAATGGACCGGGGTTCCATCCCTGAAGCCCCATATGTCCCCCAACCACTGCCATGTTATCCCTGAGTACAGAGCAAGGAGTAAGCCCTGAGCATTGCCAAAATCAATTAAAAAACCAAATTAATTAAAAAATCTGGGCTGGAGCCATAGGACAGTGGGTAGAGCTCCACCCTGCACGTGGCCGACCCACGGTTCAACCCCCAACATCCCATATGGTCCTCCGAGGAGTGCCAGGAGTCAGCTCTGAACAACACTGGGGGTGGCCCCCAAACAAAGCAAAACAAGAATATCAGAGCAGGGGTAGGGGGTACAGGGTGGGGGTGGGGGTCCTAAGCACGTGAAGAGGCACAAGGTGAGGGTTCATCGTCCCGAGGTCAGTGTGGCCACAACGGTCTCAGGCTGCCGGGAGGCCTGCGCTGCCCTTCCTAGCCTGCTGAGACCATCACCCGGGGGCTTCCAGGGAGAAGTGGGGGTGCAGGAGCACCTCCTAGGCCGCTCTTCTCACCTCTGGGGCATCTCTGCTTTTCTGCCGGAACCTGGCACGTTTGAACGCTCACCCAGCTTGGAGGTTGGCTCTAGGCTAGCAAGGGGCACTGCAGCAGAGTCTGTGTTGGCTGAGACTGAGACTAGGCTGCGGTTTCGGGGGGAGGGACAGAGTGGTGGGAGCCCTCACCCGGCACAGAGGGGCTCATGGCCCCACTCACCAGGCGGGCATTCGGTAGAGCTTTCCTCCTGGGATTCGCCCTTTGCCCCGGAAGCAGAGTGGAACATGGTGGAAGATGAAGTCTGAAACGTCCTCCCCCCAGTCTGGCTCTCTGGGTGGAGGTCGAGGGTAGGGGAGTGGGGGAGGGTTGGGGAGGGTCTCGGTGTCCCCTGCCATGGTGTGGAGGACAGGCCAGTGTGGGGAAGCAAGCGGTTAAGTGCCGAGCAGGAACACATGCACGAACTCACCACACGTCCCGGCATCCCAATGGCACCTTTGTCCCCCTGACGAAGGAGGCAGAAACAGTTAGCATCGGTGGGTTGGGCCACGTGCCAAGACCCCACGCGTCCCACAGCGGAGAGGATGCCCAGGGTCGTGTGGGTGAGTTTGCTCACAGCTTCAAACAGCCACCATCCCGCTCATTTCCTGCTCTGCCTTCCTGGCATAGGGGGTGCCATGGGAAGACCCCCCAAGAGGAGTCTGGTCCTCTGCCTGGACCTCAGTTTCCCTGTGCAGTTCATCAAGGGTCCCAGGCCCTTTCTTCCTTTCACTTCTGTGGCCACAAACATCCCGGCTCTGGCCTGGACACTCGACTTCAGGGTCCAGAGTGGGGCTGAGTGGCACTGCTGCAAGACCGATGGGTGGATCACTGCTCTCGGGCTGACCCTGCCAGAGCCACGCAGACTCCTTCCGGGTCCCAGCTGAGAAAGCAGCAGGGAGCGTCCAGCTCCACGGCCCTTTCTCATGGCCACCCGGGGCACAGGAAGGATGCAGAACCAGGGGAGGAAGCCCACTGATGGCATGTTCCAGGGGGGACGGAGGGAGTGGCTTGGCTTCGTGGCCAGGGTTGACCTCTTTTCGCTCTGGAAATCTGCTTACTATGTTTTGTCCCTCTCCCTGGATAGAAAATCTTTTTTTGCAATCATGTGTGTGTGGAGACGTCATCAAGTCTCGGGTGGTGCCTGGCTTTCGCTAAGAGCCTGGAAGGAGACCCACCGAAGACGGCCAAAAAATCAGAGAATCTGTGAGGGGACAGGGGCTTAGGGGAGATCTGAGGGCACATGTCCCCAAATAGGCTGTGGACGCTCCTGATTCTGTTTGCACTGACCCCCACTGAGGCAAGATGCCAAGAACAATTAGCACCCTGAGGTATGGGTAGACACATCAGAGCCAGCAGTGGGTTCCAGAATGCGGCTCTGGTTGACGGAGTCTGGGTGACAGGATCGGACTTTCCCAAAGGGAGGCCAAGGGCGGCGCTGGGCAGTGTCTCCTGAGCTTCTGTGAGCAACTGGGTGTCTCACAGGGGCTGCAGGGATATCCCACGGATGCTGTCGGCTAAGCCCACCCAGTGCCTGGCTCCTGTGCTACTGACCGTCATAGCCAGTCTGCATGTGGCACTCCCTGGACCCGACAGGGGCCAGAACCAGTCCTTCCCCCCACTCTCCATCCCTTCCTGTGGGAGCAGAGGCCCCTCCTCACTGCTCAGGCTGCCAGGCCCACGGGCCATTGGCTGTGACATTCCATGGCCCACTCACTCTGGGGCTTGGGGATGCTATTTCCGAATGTGTGTTTTGGTGTCTTTGAAATCCTAATGTTCTTTGCAGTCGGGGGCTGTAAAACGCGGGTGAGGGGTAGGCGTGGAAGGGCCGGCACTGGAAACTGCACACCCTCTGATCTGGGAAGTGTCCCAAATGCTTTTTCAAGGTGGCTGTTGTCAGAAGTAGCCCGGGCTGGTCTGCCCACGTGCCCCCCAGTCACCTGATTTCCCCTCCTTGGATTCTAAGAGGCCAAATTCCCCATTCTCCTTTGCTCTGGGGCTCCTGCATCAGGGGAGATTTTCCCTTGTCTGGCCAAACGTCCTCCCTCCCACACGCATTTCACGGAGAAAGTCACTGCCGGGCATGCGTTTCAGAAGCTGCCGGACTCTTCAAGAGGTGACTGGATGACTAGTGGCTGAAGGAGTGACGGGTTAGAGGGGTGCAGACAAGGTTCTGGAAGCTTCGGAAGGGGCCTTAGGCAGAGGGAGACAAAGACTGTTGCCAGCCCCCCTCACCCTCCGTGCCCCGCGTCGGCAATGACTGGCCGTGGGATTTTATCCAAGTCACTCCCCATGAACGGGCCCCTGGTGTCCAGTACTAAGGCCCCTGCTTAGAGCCGCCGTCCAAGGGCCTTAGAAGATCTTCCCCAGGATGGCTCCTGAACAGAGGAGCTAGCCCTCTGGCCTGTGACCAGGCCCTGGCACCTTACATTGGCCGCCTTGACAGTCAGACTAGACATCTCTACCCTGGGGTCTTTTCCTCATCCATAAAGTGGAAAGAACAAAGCCTGTTTCACCAAGAGCTCGGACAGCTCACACACAGGAGAGGGCAGAGCCCGTCGGGATCGGGAGCCGGGCTTCCTGCTCAGCATCTGCGTCTGAGTCAGTCTCCGATTC